ACAATAACTAGATCTAGTTTATTTTAAACCTACATTAATTTTTTTACACGGAGTAATAAGTCAATAATAATATATGAATCATGAATGGCATTAAATTACTCAGTCAATCATATCCAGTCCAGTATAACTTAGGCTTTAAGCTTGATTATAATTTTTTAGTTTTAAAAAAATGCGAATCCCGGATGATGCAATAAAATTATAATTTTTTAATTTTTCGAAAAATGCGAATCCGTGATGATGCAATGAAAAAACCATCGGTGCCAACTTTTTTTCTTGCGTAACATAGACTTGAATGACGAAGGTCTAAGCTGTTTAAGCCACGCCCACAAATTTTTAAAAGGCCATATCTTAGCTCCTAATTAAGCTAGAGACACAAAATTGGTATCAATGTGTAGGGAAAAAAATCCTGTTTGTTTGTGGTATAATTTTACTTGAAATTAGTGGAGTTTAAAAATTACGATAGCAGGATCATCCAGATTTTCTTCATTACTATATTATACGTTGGGGGGGGGGGGGGGGGTTTCGTTGAAATAATAATGTCATTATACGTCTTTAATTAATGACTTATATTAACCATAGATACAACATGGTTATCTCTCGCATAATATTGTGTTTATGGGAGAAAAAAGTTAAGGTGTGTGGCCATTTTTATAAGGGGTAGAGGTGGTGTATAATTATATACATTATTTCACGCTGCCTTTTTACATTCTTTATGACGAAGTTAATGTTGTTTAGAGCTGTTGTAAAAATATGTTGTGGCTACCGGCTTAAGCATCAAATGGTTCCTAATGAAGGCAAAAAACGTGCTACGATTCACTTTTAAACATTTTGCTACATTTTTTATGCAGGGGAGGGGGTCCTAGGAATGTATTATATGATGATGGTGGCAATGTCATATAACTTCCAATGGTTTAATGGTGGGGTCAAGTGGGTTCTAATTGTGTAATAAAATGTGTGCACGGTATAAAGATCTATGTAAGTATAAGCGTTACATAACGTTATATGGGGAAGGTAGTTTTTTAAAAAACGTATATGTATATATATGTATATATTTATATATATGTAATATATATGTATATATGAATATATGCGAGGTACCTCTTGTGTGTATCACTAGCTTGTATCTAAAGCCCTGTTTAATAACTGTGTAGACGCTGCAAAACCTCGTAGACTTTATGTTTATTAAAGCCTGACGCTCTTTGTGTGAGCTCTATGTCGAGGGTTTTTTTCCCTCCTATTATTGGATTTGAATTCACTGTGCAAGATGCGTCCATAGTGATCATGTCTTGAGCCGCAGATGAGCTTTGTAAATTTATTTCGAAAATTAGAGAGCTCTGCTCAGAGCAGAAAACAGCAGTTAGCAGTACACTGGTGAACTTGTTTCCAACAGCGAGAATAACCGGGGACCAACAAATCATATAATCTAGTGTTTGATTCTGCGAACTCTGTTCTTCTCAGAATAGGAAGGGCAATGTGGGCGTCACATTTCCTTCTTGTATAATAATATATAGCCTACATGGGGCGTCCAATGTCCGCCCGGGGCGGAGAGCAACGCCGTTGTAACCAGGTTCTACAGACTCATCTAACCGTACTGCTTAAATATTTTCATGAACATATTTCGGTGTGAAGATACAGCTACAGAGCGTGAATGTCTGTCATTGCATTTTATGTTTAATTATGCAAATTATTTTTAAATGCGATCTCCAATAGCCATCATTAACCTTTGCCCTGTGGAATAAGCCCGTGGCACAATGGTATCTAGAGTTCACGTGTCGTATAAGTATCTTAGAATCATCTTCAACTGACCCTCGGCGACCCCGCATGTGTTTACTGTGAGTGAAGACAAGAAAAAAAAAATTAAAAGTCTAGTGGTTAGCCGCGGAATCGAGAATTAATTGGGTCTTGTCATGTCATAGAGGCCATCGGGGTTGCCTTCTCTTGACCTTGAACCGCGGCACATATAGCGCGACAAAGACGTACCATGTTTTTTCTAAAAATAAAACGGCTCTAATCTATGTTGGGCCTGTGACGCTTGGCTATGTGACGAACAGATGTTGAGTCTAGATACCTATTCACCTATCAATTTGTTATGCCAAATAAAACTCGTTCTAAAATATTTTTATTTGGTGAAATATTATTTTTATTGAAATTTTAAGAAATTGAGCGTATTATTACTAATGGCGTGTTTTTTCCTAGGTCTATTGCCAAGTCGACTCTGGAGAAATATAGCCTAATTAATACAAATGAATAGGGTCCAGTATAGTCGCACCTGGAGCCTAGTCATTAATGCATATCAAATTATTTAAAGTTAGCATATATTCAGTTTTCTGCACGCCCTTCTAAAATTAATTCTTAGGTTTATAATGTGCTGTGTAAGTAAGTGCACAGCTTGCGAAGTCTAAGCTGTCTAGACACGCTAGGCTGTATTGACAGAATTGACTTGACGATAGCCTGTTTTAGACAGGTTAAAGACTATTGATAGCATTGACCAGACTTGGCTTGTTTTGTTTTGGTGCGTGTGCTGTTCCGTTCTGAATCCACAATTAATATTGACTTGACAGACTAAAAAAATGGTGTTGTTTTTTTTTTAAGTTTTATTTTCTCACTAGTCTACCAATACACAATATTTACACCGGGAAAAAATGTAATTTAAAAAATATTTTCTCACCACGAAGTATTTGAATTAATACTCTTGTTTCCATGGACACGTAGAACTCACATATGGCATGTCTAGACAATAATTAAGATATTTTCGGGCTTGCTCTTATTTTCTCTTTGTTTTGTGACATGGCTGATTATGGAAGTTGTTTTGTTCTATTTTGCTTACCTGTCACCATCTTTGTTCGACCAGCTAAAAGGGATTGGAGCCGGATTCTCGTTAGCGTCTTCACAAAACAAAGCATGAACTTTGAATTTAGTGCTGGGTTTTGCTGTTGCTTTTTTTTTTTCATTTTTACTTTACTTGGCTTGACCTCTCCACCTTGGATGGACATTCCAATCTTGGTTTTACTTAACCCCATCTTAGACTATCCCCATCTTGGATTGACTTATTCTCATCTCGAAATGACCTATTCCCATCTTGGATTGAACTATTCAGTAGCGTAGCGAGGGGGGGGGGCGGAAAATCGAAAATAAATTGAAAGGTTGAGGGGGGTGGAAATCGAAAGTTTGAGAGGGGAGTGCAAATCGAAATCTTAAGGGGGGGGGGTGGAAATCGAAAAGTTTGTCCCCGGGCGCCGGGAAGGGTCGCTACGTCTCTGGAACTATTCCCATCTCGGATTGACCTATCTAATATTCATTGACCTATCCCCATCTTGGTTTGACTTATCCCCATCTTGGATTGACCTATCCCTATCCTAGATTAACCAATCCCCACATTCATTGCCCTATCCCCATCTTGGATTGACCTATCCCCATCTTGGATTGACTTATCCACATCTTGCTTTTGTCAGTTTCTTCTTGGTGAATTTTGTTGTTCTTATTGTTATATTTCAGTTTTATTTTTATACTTTGCCGACTCCGGTTTTTATCAACTAAATTTTGTCTTGGTGTCTTAAAGCTGGCTACCTTTGCTGTAATTTGTAAAAGCGTTAAAACTCATTGAAGACTTTCCTTGGAGTTCTGAGCAAACCAAAGAGTAATCACGTGGTGAATCAATCCACGGTTACTTGAGTGATGTGAAGTATTCTGCTCATTCTTCAAGCTTACAGTTAGCGTGATAGCTCAGTATATATCCTTACTTGAACACCTCCACCCCCTCTCTTTTATTTCGCCCTCCCACCCTCTTACTTGAACACCTCCACCCCCTCTCTTTTATTTCGCCCTCCCTCCCTTACCACCGTATGCCTACACATTAGCTGAAAGCCAACAGTAGCCAACGCTACTCGACTATCTGTAAGCTTAGCACACTGTACTACTCGGCACAGCTAGTGTGTGTGTATGTGTGTGTGTGTGCGTACACTGCAAATCTGCCGCCGCCATCATTGCCGATATGGCCACAGTTTTCTACTGGTAATAATACCAGAGGCGTCTTTTTTTTCTATCGGTGACTCTCAAATGATAAGCTGATGTTATTTTAGTCATTTTTATGAAATTCATAATACACCGTCTTCTCTTTAAGGTGAAGCATTTGTCTAGTAATGATGATCAGGTCATTCAGGGACGCCGTTAAAATATGTAATGAAAAAGTGAATTAACGAAACGCCTCTGCACTCCCAACCCAACCACCCCAGACCTCCTCTTCCGGCAACCTAGTTCGCTGTGTACAGCACAGCGTGTCCGAGTATAGACGTGTCCCAACACGCTAGCGGATAGAAAGAATAAATAAGAGAGGACAGAGTGAGGAGCCAGGGGAGGTAATCGTCCTCTCTTTTTTGGGCGTGCGTTGGAAGGAGTTTTAAAAATTAATGGGACTTTGAGTGGGACTTTTTAAAAAATTGAGAATCGCGTCAAAAAATGTACAACAATTAATTTATGGTAGTAAGCCTGTTTCAGAACTTATGGTACATTTACAAAAGTAGCTATTTATGTTGCATAACTACATTATATCTTCCCCGTCAAACACTATGAAGTAGATCCAGATCTATACATTCTTATGATTCGTGGCGATAGTGAGGTGTGATGATCGACTTGTATCCAAGTTAAATAAAATGTGTACAAGTGATCACTTGGTGCACTGTTAGATAGATCTATTTGTTCTAAAATCTAGTTAAATAAGATCTGATGTCTTATGTCAAGTGTGGGGCATTTTTTGTATATAGATCTAGATCTGTGTTAGTAGTTGTGTCATGAAGTGATTACGTCATCGTGACACAAAAGTATATTTTTTAAGAATAGGCCTTGACGTGTGTATATCCACGTGCTTTTCAATAAAGAGGGTGTCACTGGTCCTAAAAGAGGAGGCAAAGAAGGAGGAATGAAAGAGGAAAATAGCGCATGCGCACTAGTTTCCTCAACTTTCATTGGTTAAGATGATAATTATGCAGATCCACTGACGTTGTCGGCTACAGTGTTGGGCGCCTTCTTAATCACGTGATCAGAATCCGCCATATTCACCAAATAGTGTTGAAAACTTATCATGGATGACATTAAGTTTCCTTTACTATAAATAACGATTCCGGTTTAAAGGTGTTAAATTATATGAATGGTAAGACTATGTCAAATTCACCTGCATAATTTTTCATTACATAATACTTTCTATTGTATAATATAATGTGGTAATTATAATTTAGGCGAAAATGGACTTCACAATGTAACCATAACTCTTATAACGCTAACGCAGATGGGTAAACACCGGTCTACGAGACGACTTATAAAAGCCTTTTTTTTTCTGTAAAATTTTGATTTCCTCCCTTAGTATCCTGGTTTAATTTTTTTTTTTAATTTAAGAGCATCAGCTTTAATAATGGGCATGCACAGTAAACTTAGAGTAAACAATTTTATTTATAAGATCTAGACTCTAGATCTAATGAAGATCTAGAATATAACTTTATTATTAAGAATAATAGAATTCAACTCACTGATTGACTGGAGTAAACATTTCTTTGTTGATAATTAATCAATTGAATCAAATGTTCAAGACTCAAGCAAGATTAGATTAAAATTTGATTAGATCTAGATGTCTAGATCTAAATCTTGATTTTAGAATCTATTCTAGATCTCTAGATTAGAATTTAGTCTAGAGAATAGGCTATTTACGTAGACCCACCCCTCCTATTTCATAGATTATAATTTATATTTATCTAGATTCTAGTCTTTATGCCTTATGGGGCCTAGTGAATTGATTCATCATTGATGGATTAATTTTACAACAGAAAACACTTAAGGTTAGCTGACTAACATCAATGAATAGATATAGACCTTAATTTAATAACTTAATAAGACATAAGACCTTAGTTAAGTTAGTAGTATGAAGAAGTCAAGAGATGAAGACTAGATCTAGATTTCTAGATCCTAAGTGAAAAAAATCTAAATTCTATTCTAGATCTAGATTCTACATCAGTTTTAATTTTCTAAGCCTAAATGTTTTAGATTCAAATTCTAAAATATACTGAGGTTGCTTAAATAAATAGATCTAATACTAATCTGCTTCACTGACACTTAACTGTACTATTTAATGGCCTACTGCCCTACTAGACTAGATCAACAATGTTAGTAATTATCCTTGTTAAAAAGTCTTGAATAGTCAAAATGATTTAGATCTAGACTAACCTTCAGCTTTAAGTGATTCCCAGAAAGATGTGCAACAGAAAAAAGCGCAAACATAAAATGTGCAAAAGATGTAACATGTCAATGAATTTTCATTTAAAAAAAAGAAGTCTAGTGCAGTTTACAAAACTAAAGACCGTCGCCTATACCTTTTCTGTGTGCAGAAATTTCTGTGTGCACTTTTTTCTGTTGTAAATCTTTCTGGTCACCGCTTTAAGGTTATAACATCTCAAATTTATTAGGCCTATTATTTGCCTAATTTTAGTTATAGAACTAACAAGTAGTTGTAAAAGCTTGGTATATATATGCATGCCTGAATATCTCTTTCCAGTCAGTGAATGTTCTATAAACATTACAATTACATATTTCTGTTAGTTATCTATGTGGGTTTTTTTTTTAATTATCCTATCGATGTATAGGCTGATGCCTATTATTATGTTATTCCTAAGCTGAAAAGTATTTTTTATGCCTAACCATTATTCTAGCACTGATCCCACCCTGAAGAAACTAGGAAAGTCATTTACCCACATAATGCGTAAAGTCAAATATTTGTCTACCCCTTTGCATACCACTGTTGAGATATAACTTGGAAAGTTATTTTAATTTTTAGGAACATATTGCATGGCATTGTAGTCCTACTTAGCTAGTCTGAGATAAGTACATTCCCAGCTGGCCTACATTTTAATTTAATTCAAGGTGTCTGGTGGGTGAACACAGCTTAAGCCTACTATAGCTATCTTAATAATCATACATTTAAGTTCATGGGAAGATTCAACTTAAATTTGCTAATATCTTTGAAATTAGTGGAATATTGTTTTTCAAAAGTGGCTATTTTTAAGCTTGTATGTATATAGAACATTTTCTTACCAGCAATAAATAATTAAAATGCATCTAATTGTTACTAGATTTTTTTCTTGTGTATTTCTAAGTTAAGGAAAATATCTTGGAATTATTTTATTTTTCTGTTGTATTCAATACTTAAAAACTTCATTTACACACAGGTAAATATATAGGCCTATCTAACATAGAAATTTATTTCTACAGATGGCTGACAAGGCATCTGGTGATGTCAAAAAGAAGGAAACCACAGATCACGTAAAGAAAAATAATGCTACAAACGGAGAAGTACAAAAAGAGAGGAAAATTACTGATGAAAAAAATGTCACTGAGAATGGATATAGTTGCAATGGAAAGACAGAAGAATCAGAACATAACTCAGATGATGTTTCAAGTGAAAACGATTGTGAGGATGTTAAAAGTGACTCCAGTGTAAGTTCTGTAAAGAGTAAGACCAACAAAGAAAAGTCATCTTATCATGAAACTGTATCCAATAATTCTGGTGTTATTGATACTTGTAAAAAGAAAACATCTAAAAACCAAGAAATAGAAAACACTGACCAAGAGTTCGAAGCAGCTGATGTCATTCCAGAATGTGATAAAATAATCTGTGATATTGACACACCTAAACAAAAGTCTGGGGCTACAAAATCAAAAGTTAAACCAGATGACGTTGAAAACATTGATAGTAGTGATGGTGATGATATAACAGATGCTAGCATGAATGAAAAGGATAATTCTCTTCCTGAAAATACTTCTGAGAAAGATGGTGACATTCCAGCTAAAAAAGATAAAGAAGGTGATAGTGAAAAAGAGAATAAAAAGAAAATATCTACCCTTGATGACAATAGTATGGATGTTTCAATAGAGGAAATTCAAGAAAAAGAACCTGATAAGAAGAGAGGGAAAAGATCATCAGAAAGGTTGGACTCAGCTGGTGATGATATTGAGATTATTGGAGAATCTAAGGTTGTGCAAGTTAATACAAATAAAAATCTCTCACAAAATGTAGTTTTTGTACCAGCTTCTCTGACTAGCTCAGGATCTTCAAAAAGTGCAGCAAATCAAGGTTTCACTGCAACAAACAGTAACCTTCTGATTACATCTTCCTTACAGAACCCTGTAGCTGTTCAAAATATTGCCGCTTCCGCTCATGCTAATGTGCCATCTTTTTTGGCATCAGGAGCATCTAATTCATCACCAGGTTTTGTTTATTCTGCAGCTGGTGGTCAAGTTTCTCAGGGTGTGTCTCTGCTCACGCCTATTGTTGCACCTCCAAAGCCTAAATCTAGTTTGGACCAAATCGAGCTTATAAGGTGGGAAATTCAAAATAGAATAAACACCCGTCCTAAGTATTTTAAGCCTAATTCCTCCTCTGAATTAGGTCCTCTAGCAAAATTCTTATTTGACATAGGCTCAGACTTGATCAAAGAATCTGTCTATCATGATCTTGTAAAGATACAGTCTAAAAAGAATGATGATGAAACACTAACTGACAAAGAAAGAGATGACTTGGAAAAGTTGAAAGAAATTGAGAAAGATCTATATGCCACTATCGGACACTTGAAATTAAAATTGAAAAAGCGTTGCAATGGTTGTAACTTTCAAACTGAATCCAATAATGTCATGTTTTTACACAAGCAATATCCTCACGAGGACAACAAAAATTTAAAGTGTGCTCATTGTTCTTTTATAACAAGGCAGGTAGTGACATTTAAGTTTCATTTAGAAGCTGAGCATGGAGTTCAGCCAAAACTTCCTGAGAAAAGAGCTTTCTTTGAATGTGATATGTGTCCTTATGAGAATAATCAGCAACAGAAGTTAATATTACATAAACAGCGGTGTATCAAACAGTTTCGGCCTTTATTTAATCTTCACCCTGGTTGCCTTTCCGGTGCCGAAATTAACTTGTGTTTAGAAAACATATTTTACAAACCAGTTATTCCAAAGAATTTGAAGATATTACAGCAAAAGCATGCTCAACAACAAGCTGCACTAGCCGAGGCCAGACGTCAGCAAGCTCAAATGCAGGCCCTAGCAGCTCAAAAGAATGCTGCTGCTATTGCACAAAGGAAACAGCAGCTGCTTGCACAGCAAAAATTTCAGGCTCAACATCTAACCCCTCGAATAACAGCAGGTGGTAAAATGCCAGTTCCTCCCAAAGTCGCTGGCGTTCAGCAACCACAGATTCGCTACAATGTCAGAACTTCAAGACCAACAGTTGCCAACATGTTGAATGTTAAACAAAATCAAGGGACACCCCCTGCATCAGCTACACCCAACAGCACTGCTGGTGGGTTTGAAGTTTGTGAAATTTGTGGTGGGTATGTGAAAGATCGCAAGGCTCTTCGCATTCACTTCTTTTATGCTCATAGAATTGACTTGCCTTTTAACCTATTTGAGCGTCACCAAGCACCTTTGTACTGTGCTACATGCTACGTTAGATTTTGGACAGCTCAAGGTCTACGAAAACATATAGATACCCACAAGGAAGAAAACCAAACTCGTGGAGTTGTTGGTAAATGTATCTCTTGTGGTCATCATGTACTTAATCTCTTATTACACATGCGCATTGTTCACAACAGAGAAATGCAGCATTATATTAATGCTTTGATGTGTATGTTTTGTGGTGGACATTTTACCTCTCGTCAGGAATGTGAACGCCATATAGTAAAAACTCATGGTACAATAGATCCTCTAACAGGAGCCTTGAAGTCAGGTGGAGCTGGTGGTGGTGCTACCCCACCGGCAGCAAATACAAAAATAGCAGTAGCGCCAAAGAAAACGCCAGGGACAAACAGTTCTGTAAAAGGCAGTGTCTGTGTATTGTGTAATCTAAATTTTGGGCGCAATGTGGACCTCACACGTCACTGTATGCGCATGCATCACACTTGTATGAAGTGCGGAATGGTAGTGATTGACAAGGCATCCTTAATGAAACACACCTGCCTGTCTTCACCTAGTGGCACTCGAGATTGCACCATGTGTAGTGAAACTGGTTTCCATCCAGCATATTATGTGAAACATTTGAGAGATAAACATTTGAAAAAGTTCTCTGTTAAAATCAGTAAGCTGAGCAAAAGAACAATTGAAAAGTGGACAAAACGCCCATATCCATTTGAAGACCCAGAAGAGATTCTAGTTGAAATTTCAGATTCGGATGAAGAAAAGCCCCGCAAAAAGCGTAGAATGGGACCAGCATGCAAAGTTGGAAGGCGCCGTGAAAATTATACCAAGTCTGACGTTGTGCTAGTTAAAGATGATGATGATAGTGAGGTGGTCGAAGTAGAAAATCAAAACAATAGTAAAACAGATTCACAGAGTGATTCCGCTACACATGAGCCTAAGGGTCATAAAGAAGAAGAGTCCATCTCCACCCACCAAACTAAAGTTGACAGTGTTCAAGACATTAACACAAATACAAATGATGCTAAGGAAAAGAATTGTAAAGATGTAGAAAATGACCATCCTACAGATAATGCTAAGGAAAAGAATTGTGAAGATGATAATGTTAAAGAAGATGAAGGCAGTGCTGTCTGTGAGACACCTGATACTGCAGAGAGCAACAAAAGAAAATCCTTGCCTAATTCACCAAGCTCTGAAAATGAAGAATCATCTGCAAAGAGGCAAAAAACAGATTCATAAGGCCTTATTCATGTGCTGCTTAAATCACATCTTCAATCTCATTCCATTTATTTCCATTTGTATAGGCAATATTTTTAAGGTGAAGTTGTGGTTGATTCCCTTGAACCTAGTTTTGTTAAAGTTTTTATTATTTAGTAAACTTTTGTAAATGTGATCCTACTTGTTTTGTTTAGAAATAAATCTTTATTTAGGCTGTATAAAATACAAAAAATATCATATACAATTAAAATACTCTGCAGAGTTTAAATCTGGAATTAATGATTACTTGTGAATCTAGTTTTATGATGATGTGTTTGTCTGATACACCATTAATTTATACTGTTAAATCATTTTAAAAAATCAATTGATTAGGGCTCAAGATCAGAGCTCACATTTTTAAAAGTAGTATTTAACATTTTGGATTCCTGTTAATCATAAATACCAAGGCTTTTTTTTTTTAATTTCTACATTGCTACACATAACATGGATAGCTGTATAGAATGTTTTTTATATTTAAAGAGAAATTGTATTGTTCATGCTGCAAGTACCACACCTTGCAATTGTCTTACACTTTACAGCGGTAAATTTTAACTTGCTGCTCTAAAGTTAGGTCATTACCTTATATTTTAGTAATAGACTAGTACAAATTACTATTCTGTGTTGAGTAAATTACCTGTAAATTAATGAGGTGCCTTGTAGTTTTGACTCATGAATGATTTTAAATGTGAAAACAGGTTGTTACAAATGTTTTTAAAAATGCTTAAAGATAACAATTTTAAGTGGCAGTTTGGTTGTTTTGTTTTTTTTATGTAGGTATTTTTCTTTTTTTAAAATAACTAAAAGCACCAACATCCCTTGCATTTTTTATGTATTGTACATTTAATTTTTATCCTAAATTGTTTTTTTATTTCATATTTTGGGGAGTAATTATAAAATATCCATAATATATTAATGTTTGTAAACTGACAGACTTTGCAAACTTCCTAATTTTTTCTTTTGTTTTTTTTTTTTTCATCAAATTTCTTGATGGTTGGTAATTAATAATAATAATGTCATTCAGAGGGAGATCTTAGAATTTTCTAACTATTCAAAGACAAATTTTAAATGAGTGGAATCTGAATACCAGACAAGTGGGGGACAGAGGTGATGTAGATATGGGTGCAAACCACATTGTTTCTGAATGAGACTAAGACCACATGATCCTCTTTTTTTTTTTTTTAAATCCCTTTTTTTTTTTTTTAACTATGTATATAATATGCACGTAAACGCATTATGATGTATTTCATAGATAATCATGGTGAAGGTGATCAGAAAGATGCATATTAAACTAGCTTTCATTCTTACATAAATTTCTAAAAGTTATATGCAAATAAAAGTTGGCTACTGTTGCTCAGAATATTTCTAGGAGAACGGGTAACTTAAAAATTTTTTATCTCAAAACTGGAAATGTTTAAAATCTCATAGTACCGGTATTTGATTAAGCACTGTTTAGGTACATCAAAAAGAACCAGGATCTCTTGACTTGTTACTTCTCACCTTAGCTATTATGAAATGGGGTTGTTTTTTTTTTTTGTTATTTTTTTCTAAGCTGTGTTGCATTTTTAGTTATGAAATCCAATGGGTTTAATGTACCTGATGCTAGTGGCTGAATGAGGACATGTTAAAAATTCAGATTCTGGTGGGCATATGGACCTAAAATTCTACTGCTCAGCTTCTTAAGATTAATTTGCTTGAGAAATTTGCTGATGTATGGTGTATAATTCTAATACTTGTTTGTTTAGCTGATTATTTCATCTTTTCATTTGCTTACTTTAAAATAATCTGTCAATAATTACTATGAACTTGTATATAAATGTGGTTGTACAATTTTGTTGAATTAGTAACCACTACATATTAGTGCATGCATTAACTTTTAGCATATAAATATAATTGTCTATACATATTTATGAGATAATTTTTATATTCTTAAACAGTAGTCATGCATAATTTATTTTGTATATAACAATTGTTTGAATCACTTTAAAAAAAAACAACCAAGATAAGTTATTGGGTATTGTCGCTGCTGCCAACATTTACGTAATCATATTTCTAGTCTTGCCTTGTGTTTGACTTACAAATACTATCTGTTTGCTCATATTTTACTGTATTCTATCTTGGTCCAACTGTCTGTTAGTTCATCTGCTATGGTTTGTGTCATTTTTATTTTCCCCAGATTTTGAAGCACTTTTTCATTTATATGAGCAATTGATTCAAGTTGTTACATTATTAATAAAAATGTTGTCAGATATATTACCCTGTTTTGTAATTCTTTTTTATTTTTTTTTTGTAAAATTTAAACCCTTGTATAAATAACAGTGATAAATATAATGTAAATAATTATTTAGTAGGTAAAATGTTAAAGGATTATTACTAAGAATTAAAAGTTTAGATACAGGATTTACAGTGTGGCTTTACATATCTCTAAAGGAAAATAATTTTAAAATTGTTTACAGTTACTGGGTTATAACAAGCTTGGACATTTTTTAAATTGCATTGGTACATGCTTCCTACACCACATTAGAAATTGATTTGACTTAACTTTGTTGTTTTTTTTTTTAAATTATAAGCTTAAAAAAGGCTGTTGTTAGTTTGCTTGAATTTTGTGTGTGCTAATACAAGTTTTAATTTGTGGCACTTTAGCAGCTTTCACCTAATTATTAATTCATGAGATTTTTCAAAAATTTCCGACAGTCCTTTAATTCATTGATAAACCGTTTTTAATACCCTATCAATGAATTTAAAAGTAATAAAAAGGTACACATATTCTGTTAAAACTAACGACTCTAAATAGAACAACAAAAGTCTACATAGTAATTACTGTGGACATTTTAATTTTACAACAAAATATTACCATTTAATACTTTTATTAACAATGGGGATGTAATTGTAAGATCAAGGAGTAACCTTTCCATTGAGCACACTCAATTAATAATTTTATTCAACCTATAATTTTATCAAAATTCCTTTTTTACAAAAATGCTATTTGTAAAGGCCCATGGTAAATCCCTTCTAATTGAATTAATTCCTCTCATCGGTAGAAAATGTGCTCATTAAAGTTATCATAGTTTAATAAGTACACACAGGAGCACTTGCAAAATAAACCAACAAGAACATAAGCTTATGATTCAGAATTATATGACTACATTTTACAATAAGTAGATGCCTGAAACACTTTAAAAAAGTTACTTTAAAGTAAGCTACTAATAATATTATAGCCCAGCACATTTTATAATTGTAACAAGAATTCTGAGCATGTGTTTACAATTTCAAATGAAATAAAATCAGTTAAGCATGAATATAACAGTATTCAGTGTATAATTATAGCCTATTTGGGAAAAGAGTGCAAGGCCTTGTAGTACAATTTACAAAAATACTTTTTTCATTTGAGGATAAAGTCTAGCTTGAAAGTGAAGTAGGTCTAAAATTGTGCATTAAATCACTGTCAAGTCTCAACAATAAAAAATACAATAACAAAAATTGTTCATCACAGAAAACCAAATTATGCAGTAATTGATAAACTACCTATACTTCTAATGATGAGATAGGAACGCCATTTCTCCTGTAAAACTCCGACTTTACATGCCCTATGCGAACATGCTTTCTGTCTGGTTTATCAACGTGAAGATTCAACTTTTTTCCATAAATCGATGAAGATAATGTTGGGACTTCTTTTTGAATCTCCTGTAATTTAATGGTGAACTACAAATTAGCTAAACAAAACTAAAAACTTAATAAAAGTACACCAAATTTTAATGTGATGGCTAACCCAAAACTACTACTTTGTTTCAGATAACAGACTTGAGTTGTAAAATAATAAATAATTGAATTTTTAAAAATTTCAGTGTAGCCTATTAGAAAAATTTTAATAGGGCAGCTGCTAACTAATGTAAACGATAACCATAATTGAATTAGTTACCTCATCATTTACTCTTAGCCCTCTTGATTTTGTGTGATCTCTGTCATCTCTGTGAAGCTTATTGTTGTATCCATTATCTTTATGAAACAATCTGTCATATCTTGAACCAGGATAATGATCCTAAACAAAATTAGAAAGTAATGTAGTTTGTGTTAAGATAGAAATAATCATTAACCATATCTCTTATCTATATGTATAATGCATTATTTTATTGCACCAAATGATTGCTGGGAATAAGTTGTTGAAAATACATTTGGGAAGGCTTCTTCAAAAATTTTATAAATTATTCCAGAGGGGCTGGTTATTGGCCAATATCTTAGTACCTGGGGTCAGTTTATTGGGTCGGCTGCTCAGGGGGTCTGAGGTGTTTCCCAAAGAGCTCACCGCCACGCCTTACACCAGGCCTGTTGCCAAGGGGTTTTCAACCTCACTATTAGGGAGAGTGATTAAGGTACTCAAAATTTTGATAGAGCATGCCCTGGGGCATCTGGCTATTGAAATTTGAATGGACAGCAACTAAGATCCAGGATATATAGCACATTGTTACATTTAAATAATTCAGTTTAAAAAACCAGTGTTGCTTCTATTACACTAGTTCTTCTTCTTCGTTCTTAATTATTAGTGTTGGAAGGGATTGAGAATTATCTGCCAGCAGGTTTGAACTCTAGACTTTTTTTTTCGAATTTAACAACCATGAGCTTTTTGCCGACTCGACCATGCCTCCATCACAATTAAGGATACGTGTCAACTGGTTATGCGCCATTGAGGCCATTGACTCCGATTTCAGCCTGCTTTTCTTTTTGGATTTGCTTCCATAGCCTTTGTCCAACCAAGAACAAGCTACAAGGCAGCAGTTGTTTGATTTTGGAGTTGTCTCTCCTAGAAGAGTGGCTGTCCCCAGCTAACGAGCCTCATCTGCCCAAGGGTTTGAACTCGAGATTTTTCGGTTTAGCAACCATGAGCTTTACCAACTCGACCACGCTGACCCCTTACACTAGTTCAAAAATACACTATTGGTAATGCTCCAATTAGAAATGAATAATGAGGATAGTGTTAAATTGATGCCATTAATCATAAACAACCCTCTCACATGGTAATTTAATAAAACATTTTAGAAATTCAAAACTTTATCTTCTCTTTGCCTTGTCCATCCAATGAAGCATGTGCCATTTTGCAAAATCCTTACAAGCTTTTCTGTTTTCTATGCTGTTTTTTCCCATTTCTTTCCAACAATACTTCTATCTTTTTCAAGAGTATCTATTTTTTAATCTATATTTAGACATCATGCATCAGAAAGTAAGGCTGCTAACCCGTAGTCTCAAGTTCAAATCAGTAGAATGTCCATGAGTCGACCCAGCTCTGATGGGTACCTAACTCAAATTAGGGAAAGCAAAGACGGCCGGGCATAGTGCTGAACACATGGGAAAAGATGATGAATTAGACATTTGTTAAAGGTCGCAGGTCGTCCATAAATTGTAATTTTGCAATGATGGGGGGGGGGGGGGGGGGGGGGGGGTGACATCACGCTTATATATTTTACAAAAGTAATGTAGTAATATTAATAACTGAAGTTTAATACTTATTTTGAGGTGTTAAGATAACTGTTTTAATAAATTCTAATAGAAATTGATAAAACATAAAACAGCTCAGTCGATATTTTAGGAAAAACAGTTTTTAAAAGAATTGCAATATTGAGGGGAGGGGTTGTAGGCTGAGCTGCGGCGTCATTATAGGGCGAAAGGGGTTCTGGCTTTTGTAATGAGGGGAGTGGGGTAGGTATAAATCTTCAAAAAAGAGTGACGTCTTTTATGGATGATCCTTTAGGTAAGTAATTGAAACATTACAAATTCAATAATAAAAGGGGAGATAACAAGATTAAATACTAGTGATCAGTATCAGCTGGCATTCGATGGTTAAATTTGACATATTTTTTGCCTGAACGTCAGTGGTGTCATCTTTATTTAGACTGAATGACCGAAATGCGGAAAATAAAACAAAATAAACCGGGAGTGATCTCCCTTAAACTTTCTGGAATAATTTTATATAACACTACGGGGGATGGCAACTCAGGATATAGACCAATTTAATCCATTTTTAGTTACTTAAATTTTTAAAATAGAATAGAATCTCATAGAAAAAAGAATTGCACACCAAGTGAACGCCAAACAAAATGTCATTCTCTATAGCCTACTTCGTATACGAGAAAATAAAAAGAGAAAGGACGGCAACTTAATATCTATAACAATTTTACTATCACTTGTAGAGCAACCTTTAAAACAAAATCCACTAAATGAAAAAAAATTTAGTTAAATGTTAGTTATGATGCACTTGTTGCAGAGCTACAAAATTCATGTAGGTCTACATTGCTTACAGTTCTACTTCATTAACTTGGTGAGGGGTGGAAGCAGGCGTTGTAACTGAAATAGCAATGTAAACAGAAAGTGATATTTCAACGCCAAGGGTAGACAAAGGTACAGAATATAGTCCAAGTAAAGACAGAACAGTCAGAAAAAGTTTGCAATTTAATCACCTTCCCCCTCCCCCAGGTTACCCTGAGCTCTTTCCTGACATTTGTATAGTGTTGAATGTGGGTTTCTTATTACCCTAAGAAGCTGGTCACTGACCTTCACTTTTAAAATTTTTATGTTTAACATTTTTTGAAGAATTAATTTTACATTTTCAGAAACACAATCTTGCCCACTGTAAATGTAACAGAATATTAATAATACCTAAATACAAGAAAATCGCCTAACGATTTTGGAGATTTAAAGCTGGAGGATGCACATGATTCAATTGCGTAAACGATTATAGTAACCCTATGTATCCATAGTGTATAACACTCTTTATAACTCACTGCAAAGCCTAGGGTGCACCCCTCCAAAATTGAAAACGATTGGGGTTTTTTTTCTCAATAACTTCCAAAAGTTACTTGGTGATCGGATGAAAGGTTTAGTAATAATCTATATATATTTATATATATATATAGATATATATATATAAATAGATATACATACATATATATATATATATAAATAGATATACATACATACATATATATATATATATATATATATATATATATATATATATATATATATATATATATATATATATATATATATATATATATATATATATATATATATATATATATACATATATATATATATATATTGGGCTTCAACCAAATTTGTAAGTATAAATATAAATGATATCACACTGTAGGGAGAGGGGGGGGGTCTGTATTTTGTGACGGGGAGGGGGATTCAGATGGTGTGATGTCACACTTTTGCATTATAAAATGCAATGTTAGAAAGTGAATTTTAGCAGCTGTCTTGTATTTTATTTTAGAAAATGTTTTACTAAATTGTAACGGAAATTTATTAAAATACTCTATGCTAACAGAGTTCAGACAAGATTTTGGAAATATTTGATGTATTCAGAAAAATTCAACAGCAATTTTGAAGGGGGGGGGGGGGGATTGTCGGCTGAGGTGTGACCTTATTTTATTTAGGGGGGTCCTGGCTTTCTGTGACAATGTGTGATGGAGGGGGAGGGAGGTAAAAATTGTCCAAAAAAGCGTGACCTCTTACAGCTTACACCAGTAATACATACAAATGCTTTACTTTTTATAATCACAACTTTAATAACACTGCAGAAAAAAAAATATATTGAAACTCTCCACAGAATTTAATGTTAGGCCTACTGACTGAGGCCTACACACTACTTCACAAAGTTATATTTTACTTGGTTTAAAATAAAAATCCTGATCCAACGAACTGCAAATGCACTAGATATATAATAGATCTATTAAATTTTGAGTAATTAGTAATGTAGTTAAAAGTGACATGAAAACATATGTCATTTTGAGCAGGGCTTTTATAGTTTAAAGACTAGAGTAGATCTAGAAGGTTTTTTTACTATTAGGCATTTTAAAAATAATTTATGAAGGCCATTAATTACGATAAACTATAATTAATAGGGTTAAACTCCATTTTAGGGTATTTTATTCCCCAATTCACATTCACCTCCAGTTGAGCATATTTTATTTTAAACACAACCAAAACACACAAAAACATTAGTATAACACTAGGCCACCTTCTTTATGAATTTTTGTTTTAGTTTATTAAAAATTTACTTTTGTCAAAACTTGAGAATATCAAATTTGAAATATTAAATGTGCACTATTAGGATCTTGATTTAGGTTGTTTTTTTACTCTTGAAAATATTTTTGTGTCAGTTAAGATTTTCATGGCAAGGGGTAAAGTACAAAACTCAAAATTGCAAGGAGGTTTATTAAGTTTGTATTGTTATAAGTGTCTCGCACACATGATACTATAAACTTGTAATGAACTCACAATGACCCCAAAACTGACACCACCACCAATTCATATAGCAGTTGTCCAAGCTATGACATTCAGTGTGAACTCACATGGACCCTTAACCATGGAGGGATTTTTCTCCTGCTGATACGAAAACGTGAGCTGGCGATCACTTACCCACTACACTGAATCTGTTATGCTTATTTATAACATTTTTTACCTGTTCTAATTAAAACACACATTCATTAAACAATAAGTAGATCTAGATCTAATCCTAGTGCTTTCTTAATGTTTTTGAATTGTGTGTGTTTCTGTTGTGTTTATATTAATTTATATTATAAAATATGCTCAAAAGGAGGTGAATATGAAGCTGTAAATAAAATATGCTAAAAAGGAGTTTTACTATTAATATATTATTAAATAATAGTTAGGCTACAACTTACTTAAATTTATTAACGACACTATGTACTATAACTAGATGCATGGATATATTAATATATACTAAATATTTTTGTACTATTGTATAAATATTTTTATTTTTAAATGTCTCCGAAACTAACCTTTCCAGTTGAATTAAAGTAATTTCTTTCCCTTGGGATATTCATATGATTTGCTGGAATATGGGAAAATGCAGACAGTTCACACGGCCTTCCATTTAAGAAGAATACATCGGTATTAGTCACAACAGTAAGTCCTGTCGGTGTGTCCTCCATCTTGACGCTTATGGTTGCTATACTCTCAATAGTACCTGTTGCTATGTTAATATTTTTAAAATGCTTCTTATTTTTTAATAATATAATTTTATTGTTTACAAGCCTTTATATTTCTTACAAAATATGTTTAGTAAAACTAAAAATTAGTTAGGTTTTCTTAAATTTCTTATAAAATCTCATGACTGAAAATTCAAAATGGCAGCCTTCATGTCTGTAATTTGGAGATAGAACTTAGATGAGTAAATTGAGAAACGTTGAATAAACTTGTTATAATTTCTGGTCATAATAGATCTAGGTATACTTTTCTGTAAGTTTTTTCAAAGTATTTTTGGAATATATTTACTAGTGCTTCATTCAACTTCATTAAGCTTACTTATAGAATATAGACTATAGACATTTGAAGCTAGACTACTTTTCTACGATGCTTCATTTTTACTAAAATTAAAATTTACTTAAATTTTCATTTCATTTACAAACATTCATTTACATTCATGACAATCATTGACAATCAATGGTGCTGCTGCAGTGTGAGTGTGATGACTGTGACTTGTGTTATACTAATAGTAATTAACAATGATACTGTGACTTGTACTAGATTAGAGAGTTTAGAGAACATGCAAGATTATTAATTATTAATATAAGAAATGTTATTGGAGTGTCAGCAACTGAGCTTGAAATAATGTTTTGTATCTAGAATCTATATAGACTATATAATTCTCTTCAAGGAGACCATAGAAAACACCACGCAGCTTAGCCACCACCCTCATCCACACCTGTCAGGTGAGCTGTGGTTCACCCCGATCGTTTACAATCGTAGAGCTGGGTTAGTGATGGCTATTAGGGGCAGATAATTTAGTATTAAATGATTTGAAACGAAGGGGAGGTAAAAATTTCCGATTGATCTTTCTTTGTCTGTAAACGGCTGCTTTCACTGGGCGGGAGGGGGTAGTGTTGAATTCACAAATTATGAATTGCTGATAAGCAGAAAATAAAACAACTAGATGGCGGCGTATACTATGTCACGGGTCAGCTCGTAATCTATACTAATAGTTTTGCTGTCTGTGTATCTATCTGTGTATGTATCTGACAAGAACGCTATAGAGAAAACACAAGCAAAGTAAAAACATGCATAGTAAAACGGAAACGAAATATGACGTCATATTGAGCATATAGTAGAAAAGAGTCGAAAGTCGTGAGTGCACAAAATAATATGACGTCATTGATTGTCGAGAAAACATTGAATTAAAAAGCCAATTTTGTCTAATCTAAGTGGTTTTCGTGAAGAGTTTCTTTCATACAGTTCTTCGGGTAGGGGCGAAGCCCCACCCTTGAGAAAGAATGTCTAAGCCCCCCCCCCCCCCCCCCCCCCAAACTCAAAAGAAATGTCGTCATCGATACTCTATAATAAAATTACCGCCTAATTAATGTGTCTATGCTAAAAAAGTGGTTTGCGTGCAGAGTTTCTTTCATGCAATTTTTCGGGTGGGGCGTGTAGAGTTTATTTCATGCAATTTTTCGAGTTGTGGCTAAGCGCAACACCAGTGTTTCTTTCAGACTTTTTCCTCTCCTGAGTGAGGAACTTTGAAATTTTCTTATCTAAAAAGTGTTTTGCATGCAGTTTCTTTCATGCAGCTCTTCCAGGCTCTACCTTTAGTTTGTATGATCAACAAATGCGACCAGTGTTTCTTTCAGACATTTTCCTCCCCGGAGAGGAGTGGGGGGATACTTGGAATTTTCGGGGGCGGGGTTTAATTTTCTGGGAGGGGCAGACACTGGAAAATGTATTTAATTATATTTCTTTGAATGGGAAGGTAGATGTGGTTATGGCTGTGGCTATATTTAGTATAAATGCGCGATAACTACGTGTATATCAAGTGTAATCCGATTAAAATGCCGATTCTGGATAAAACTCTGTTTTCAATGTCATTTTTCGTTTCCGGTTAAATTGAATTAAGGTGGTGATTTTGGTTTTAGTTTAGAGGAAATAGACAGCACTATCAACCTAGCATCCATTGTATCCTTCCTCAATGGGCCATTTTTCTCTTATATTATGATAACACAGGGTCTAACTCTGACCCATAAAAAAAGTATAGAAGTAGTCTAAGACATTATTCATTATTATTGATTATATTATCATTATAATAATAATTGCCCAACTGCCATTACCCTCTACCCCCAACTTGCTGTAGAATTTTATTTCCAAATTAATAAAGTCAAACAAATATTACACAAAGAAAGAAATATACGTTAAAAATTAAAAAACGCCATTTACTACTTGAGTGGAGATGAATGTTTAGCTGCAATGCTTTTTATTTGTTAAGTCATAGTGGCTTAGCACATGTACTGCTTAGTTGCTTGTTTATAATTATATCCTTCAGGAACAGCTTGTATATTTGAATAAAACAATATTTTTCAGCTTGCCCGATTTCTTTGAAAATGTGCATAGGCCAAGCTCATTAAAAATATCGAGATTGAGTTATAACTATACTGAGACCCTATTTTTAAGAATAGCAGTATACAGATTTTAGAGTAGGGAACACTTTTTAAACCTAAAAATGATCACTTGTTATCTGCCTGTTTTTATAGTAGTACAAGTGTGATCCCTTAATGTAAAAATGTAAAGCCTTTCATTAGACATTAAAAGTTTTCATGAAAACATATTTAGGATTTAATTAAAGAAATAATAAGTAATTATTTTTAAAATATGTTGTTTTTTTTTCTTTAGTAGAGAAGTTATAAATTTTGAAAGTATCTGCTCAAAAACTCAGATCAGTATATTTGAGTTACATTTTTCAACTGAAAATTGTGAACATGTAGAATTTTTTCGCTCAGGCAGCGAAAACAAAAACTTTATCCAGAACACTAAAAGGGGCTTAGTTTTGTAACCTGTGACTCAGAAGATATACCCATAACATGTTTAGTATATATTTAAGTAGTTCTAGTATAGTATATATGTCGTAATTGTAAACGCTGTACTCTGTAATACTAGCAAAAAAAACAATAACAAAATAGCAAACCCACAAGAAAAAAATCAAATAAAAAGAAAGGAATAATTTTAATACAGGTTACGGGAACGTGTGACTATTACTATAGACCAAACTTAATGCCAGGTCTGAATAGCAGTCAGGGTTATGGTTATAAGGACCCTGGTCCTAATAACGGCCGGGCCTATTAAAATCCGGGTCCGAATAGCCACTTCGTAAGTAGCATCTACTAAGCTAGAGGCTAGATTTCACTAGATCTCTAGTCTAAAGTACTTAAATAAACTTTACTATAGTCGCCTAGCTAGAGTCTAGTAGTCATGTCTATTCACTAATCTAGAATTAGTGAATGGGCGACCAAAGTGACCAGAATCCTATAATTATTTTTGACATGGATGAAAATCTTTTTATTTTAGATTTTGCAATCGAAGCAACCGTTAAAAGAAACTTTGTAAAAAAACTTAAACCTGAAAATAAATTCGGAAATTTAATATTTTTAGAATGAATGTTCTAAAAGTTGTAAATCAAGAGAACTTGAAAAATGTTTTTGAGTAAAGGCTATGTGTCTATTTATTTTCTAAGTCTAAGTTATAACCTTAAGTTTCACTTTTGTAAGACAAACATTGATTGGCTCTACAGGAACTCCGTAATCAATATTCTGAAAACCCCACTTGATAAAAAAAACCAGGATCCAGACAAAAGGCTGACATGGACCAATTCCAAAGGTCGACAGGAAATAAGGCCAACATCTAAAAGTCTGACAAGACAAAAGACGAACAGGAAATTAGGCAAACTGGACATAAGGCCGACAAGTTTCATAAAACAACAAACTCCGATGTTGGCGTTGGCTCCATGCCCAAAAGACGAGGTCTCCTCTTTGTCTGTTTTTTGTCAGGGCAAATCCATCAAAATGCAAATGTTTCCCCTTCTGTTATTTAATAATTTTGCTTTCCTTTGTATCTGAAATACTTAAATATATACTACTGTTTAATATTCCCACAAATATTCTTAGTTACATTCAGTAGGCTTAAAATACAATACTCAATGTATCTAATTATCTGCCTTTTGACTGCCTGCCTTTTTACTTTCCCGTATATGAAGTATAGAGAAAGTATTGTAATCGTGCAAAAAAAAAGAGATTTTTGCAAATCTTGACGTTTTACACCTCCCTGAGTCGGATAAACATAGTTTTGCAATCTTGTCAGTGTGTGTGTGTGTCTGTAAACATGATAACTTGAGTAGCGTAATAGCTAGGTTGATAAAATTTCATATATAAGTATTATATCAAATTTTTAGTTCTGTATAAACTTTTGAGCAATTTCTGATAACCAGAAGTGGAACTTTTTCTACTTTCAAATTTTTCAAAAGCCTATAATTTGAGTACTATTTCTATCAAATTTTGAGTAATTTCCATTGACCGGAAGTAGTAATTTACGCTATTTCCGATTTCTCAAAAAACGCATGTGAATTTACAAAGTACTAATAATATTCTGCACTTTTATACACAGTTTGCTTGGCCACAATTCTTATTTCTACTAGATTCTATTCTAAAAGTTTAAGTAATTAAAAATCATGTCTATATACCAAGTTGTCATCCCACGTAGTGTTATAATAGAATATTTGAGAAGTTTTGGGGAGATCTCTCCCGGTTTATTTCCTACATCAAAAGACCTCACAGTAATATAAAATTTGCTGGTACAAAATTTATATAAGATTGATTTTTTTTAAAAACCACATGACCTAGTTTAGTTTTAACTAATGCTTTTACACTTTGATTTGTTTCCTGTCTGTTTCTGAAGCATTATGCCGTATTTTCTTGCTTGTGAAATCTTTTTCATGAGTTTTTGCCAATAATTAGGAGAGCCAGTATGTTAAAGACAGAATGAAAATGGATCAATGTTATATCAAACATCCATTTATACCAAAAATTTAGACTGACTCAGCTACCATTCATTCTTAAGGTTTGGTATGAGTGCAGCCCTTCTAATATGCTTGTCAATTTCAGCTCTCTCTTGATTTGTTCAAGACTATGCCAAAAAGTTATTGAAACCATCTTACCCTCTTAAAGTTCTTAACATTAGCAGGCTTTAAAGCAAGAGACCAATCAAGATTTTCTGTATTATCCTACAAGATGTGCTTAGTTATTGTTATCTTTAACCATTTAGTTATAATAATTTCTTTTTTTATTTTAGGGAAAGAATGAAGCAGCATGAATTCGGCACCTAGTTTATGAAGCTTGGCAAATAATCTTTAAAGATTTTACTTTTCACAAAAGCAATACATTGGTGACCAAGCATCATTTCAGCAGTGCCTACCATTGGTATTAACCAATAGTATGGGGGCTTGTGTATGCAAAGACAAGAATCAAGATCCTCCAATTACACAAGCAGAAGAAAGTGACAGCAGTTCTCATGTCAGTACCTCGCGGCAGAGGGACCAAAACCATCATAGTTCAGTTAATACAAATTTTGAACAGACAGATCGGCGGCATCGGCACCATCACCGATCTCATAACAACCAAGTTAGTTGCTTTTCTTATTTAGTTTTATATCCGAAATATAATATGAATCTTTTGAATATTTAATATACTATAATACTAGTCAGAAATTTGAAAGTAAAACCACCTTTTCTTTTTGATCAGGTAGGCATAACTATAATTAAAAACTGTAAATGCATGGAGATTATAAATTGTGTTTTAAAATTCTGTTAATATCTTTCTTTTACAGAGACAACACCATGGGTCAAATAGAAGAAGTAGGGATGCAGAAAAAGAAGATGTAGATCGTTTGGTGCTTGAAACTTTGTCAGTTATTCGCACTCTAGTAGACAAGTATGTTACATCTGTTGTTTGCTTTTCCTATTAAAAGCTAAATCTTCACCAGAACAACTGAATTAATCTCCAACTATTCATGTACATTTACTTATAGATTATACTAAATAAATGCTAATAGCCTTAACTATATATTTTTTTTTGCTGTTTTAATTCTTCATTTTATTTATTTTAATTTTTCATTATGCTGCACTTGGCATTTGGATAAGTGCCTGTCATTTCAAATATCTTGTCCCCAGTGCACAAGAACCACCACTAGCTATGCTGATACTCCACAAAATAGCTGACTGTGATCAAGGCTGGTTAAATGTAGTCAAGTCTCTGATACGTGTCATACCAATGGAAGATCCGCTAGGACCTGCAGTTATAGCTCTTCTACTTGACGAATGTCCTTTGCCAACTAAAGTAATGATTTTTAGATACTATTAGCTTTTTAATACAAATTTAAAAATGTTTTTATCTCCTTCCGACACGACCTCAGGATTTTCATCCAAAAAATTATCACTTATATGGAAATGATGTAGCAGGTGTCCTGACGTTTTATACTAAATTTCATCTCCATCTGTCAAGTATTATGCAAATTATGACATGTGTACAAAAGTGTATGTGTCACAATAGAGTAAAATGTCAGTAATCACTATTTATGACATGCAATTCTGGAATGATATTTACTAATTACTAGAATTAGGCTCTTTATTTGAAGAATGAACAAGTTATAAGCAACCTAAAAAATAATTAAATAGTTTTAAATTTTCAAATATTTCTATCAAATTTAGGTCAACAGTATTGTTAACTCCGATTTAAAATTTGAAAATGTAAAGCAATTTTAAAAATGAAACGTAGAAAATACGTGCCTGAATACAGTGAATGCAAAACAATATCAAAATTAATGATTTTATTTACATTTTTTTGTTGTCAAAACTAATGTGCACAAAGATGACCACCGTTTGGGAAGGGGATATAAACAGCTGTATTTGTAGTTTTATATTTTTTGCTATTACATATCATTTTTGTTCACATACAAATGAGGTAAAGTTTAATAATTTAAATTTGTGTAGGTTGTAGAACTATGGGGTGTGCGCTGTAGCCTTGAAGGGGTGGGTTGGCAAGTGATGGCAGTTGTTTCGGAGGTTGGGATAGGGTTTATGCTGGGTGTATTTTGTTGTGTACTTTTTTATTTTTTATATGTACAACATGGATTGCCTAGTATAAATTAAAATTCTTGTACAATGTGTCGTCATACTAGCCTATGGGACAGTTGCTATTTATTTTTACTATGTTTTAGAGGCTGTGATTTTGTGATACTAGCTATAATCTTGTCAGTTAAAAATTACTAGTTATTTCTATGGTATCTATTTAAAATTGAGTATGTTCACATAAGTTTAGTTACCCTAACAGCTTGAGGATCTAAGAGTTTGCTTAAATTTATTTTAGTTTACTAAAATATCATAGCATTTTGCTTTGTCTTGTTGTTTATAGTGTGAGGCTTGTCATTATTCTTCTACCTATGCCAATGTAGCCATTATACACCTTTAATTGAACAAAATCTTTACTTATGCTTCTCCACAGGATGCTCTTCTGGAACTTAAAGCTCATCTGAATCTTGCAGAGATGGAATATGCTCAAACCTACAGCAAACCTTGTCAGAAGCGCAATATTTGTGTTCTATTAGGTTGTCTGGCTGAAAAATTAGCAGGTAACTAAATATTGATATCTTTTACTTCATTCAATATATTTACAATTTTTGAGAAATATTTATCTATGTTGTAATTTGTTACATTGGTGTAACATTATATTTAACAGCTGTAATCAATTTTTCAAATTCCAGGCCCTCACAGTATATCATTATTAACAACAGACATATTGACGTTCTTAATAGAGCATTTGGTGAGTGTTTGTTCATACATGCATGACAGTACAACTCAAGATAAATTTTTTTAAATCTTTTTCACCCTAAGCTTGCTAAAATAATTTTTTTAATAGCACTTTTAAAAAATATTAACACTGACCGTACATTTTTAAAAATCAATTTACTTATCAAAAATTAATCTTGTATTTATCATCATTGATTGTCATTACAAACCTTTCAGAAACCTGAGTATCATCCAGTTGTTATTCTTCATTCTATGGTTGCTTTAGAAAAGTTTGCTCAAACCAGTATGTTGTTTGTTTGCTTTTTAAAAATCTGTTATCTAATACACAAACTTTGCCTTACTTCTAGTACCATAGTAAGTTTAACATTTTTATCGCTAACATTGCTATCACTATCTGTTAGCAATGGTTTCTACAATTCTTATTAATGTCTAAGAGAAAAAGAAATATATTTTGATTGTTTATCATTGTCTGGGCTAGAAATACTAGTACAAAAATTGAATACTTTTTTTACATTAAATTCCACTTCATGATATATCTAATCATTTCAGGTGAAAATAAGCTTAGGATTACCCAGGCTTTGCAGCAGTGTGATGTGCATCCAATGACAGTTTTAGAGGGGTGGTATACTCGTGACAGTGACAACAGACCCCTGAGCTACAGTAGAAGGGAAGTGGGCTTCTGTGCTGGTTGGTGCCTTGATAATTTGTGTAAGTTGTTCTTGCTTTCCTTACATCGGGGACAGTAAAAATTGTATGTAATTACATAATAGACATGTAATGTCTTGTATAAGAAATAGCACTATTGCTCATAAAATGTTTGTCAAATCTCTTGGACTTATTACAATGTGGTATAGTTTAACATTTAAAACTTACATATGACAAATTTAAAATTTTAATTGTGGAACTCATCTGCCTCAAAATGTGTTGTTTACAACTTATTTCCCTTTATTTGCTCCTGAAAAAATTGTTTTATAAAAGTGTAGATCTAAATTCAGAAACATTAAAACATTAGATTTAACATTATACAATAAACTTAATTGAGGTATTAATTTTTAACTTTTTTTTTTCCACATATCACAGTTATTAAAGAGGTAAGGGGTTTAAAATAATTTTTCAAAATGTTATATGATATAATCATACTACTTTTTTCATAAGTTTAATTAGATTTTTAAAAATTATTCAACACTGAATAAAACATAATCTGTTTAAAATTCAATATAGATTTGCATTCCTATTGAAAATGAATACCATGTTGTTTATTTCAATCTTATGTTTTTATATATACAGTGCATTACAGCTAATTTTTACTTCTCATTAGGGTCGGCCCTTTTCTTATGAGCAGCTAGATCGGTCTCATCTTAATGTCATGCTAAACAGTAATGATGTCAGTGAATATTTGAAGATTTCTGCTGATGGATTGGAGGTGAGTACTTAATTCTTAATTGACTAATCCTGCTGAGCTTGTGGATATATTAATAATTAAAGTGAACTTTGTGGTGAGTAGAAAAAATCATGGAAGAAAAGTTGCAGGCTTGGGAAAAATTTATAGAAAATAAATCACCAAAAAAGGGGCTAGGAAATTCACAAGTGTAACTCATGTATAAAAATGGTGTTATAATTAGTTGTAAACCAATACATAAAAAAGGTAATTTAACTAACAATGTAAGATTATTTTTTTTAATTTATTTAATGAACAAAGTAATAGAAATTAACATAAAAAAATTGTGTGACTTTTTCTGGGAGTTTTCTGCATTCAATTTAGTGTTTTGTTTCAAATAATAACATGATCTTGTTCAAGTAGAGCCCCTAGTTCAACCCAAAGCCCATTTATTCAATTACTGTCTTTTTTCACAGTCCATTTTTATTTATTTTGCTTCATATTGTACTTTGTTTTGTATTTGACTGATCATTATTGAAATATCCTTGATTTGTTTGGTTATTTCTAGTGTGGGGTTACTTCCAGTGTATTGTTTTAGTATTGGTCACAAAAAACTACAGATATTTTGGTATTTACATTCTACTGCTTATAAAATCAAAATAGTAATAAAAGATAATGTTCCTTTAATCTTATAACTTACTAAAATGTGAACTGTATCATATATTTCACAATACTCAATACACTGTCACCTAGTGTAGTGCTTAGTTCAGTGTTGAGTTTTTATGTCATTTTTTAGGCTCGGTGTGATGCATCTTCCTTTGAAAGTGTGAGGTGCACATTCCAAGTGGACTCTGGTGTTTGGTATTATGAAGTGACCATTGTGACTGATGGAGTAATGCAAATAGGATGGGCAACTAAGGACAGTAAATTTCTAAATCATGTGAGTCTAAAGCAGTTATAAATTTGTTGATTGCTAAAGTTAATGAAAAATGATTTTTTTTCGTTAAAAGTTTTTTCATTAATTTTTAAAACTTAAATTTTTAAATGAAAAGTTTATTTCAATCTCTCCCATGCAATTCACTTAACTATACATTGCAAATTTATTATATTTGGATACATTAATAAACTTAAGATGTGAATTTGCTTTTGTAAAATAATTATCATTCTAAAATAGATTCTAAATTTTCTGCAACGGTTGTCTCTCTTTATTAATCTGATATTATTAATAATGAAATAACTGTGAAAACATCTTGTCCTCTCTTTGCATAACTTGTACAAGTTATTTAAATGTTTTTGTGTCTGCACAAGTGTGCCAAACTAATATTTTTGCTATTTAAAAGAAATATATAGTACAACAGTAGGGGAAATGGTTTTCAATAAATTGTAATAAACTTTGCAACGTAGGATGGCTGCGGTATTGGGGATGATGAATTTTCTATGGCTTATGATGGCTGCAGGCAACTTATCTGGTACCATGCACAGAGTGAGCTGCACACACACCCCTGTTGGAAGCCTGGTAGGTGGACACATTTCATTGTGGTCGTCTTGGGTGGACACATCTCATTGTAGTCTTTGTGGGTGGACACAATTCATTTCATTGTAGTCTTTGTGGGTGGACACAATTCATTTCATTATAGTCTTTGTGGGTGGACACAACTCATTTCATTTTAGTCTTTGTGGGTGGACACAACTCATTTCATTGTAGTCTTTGTGGGTGGACACAATTCATTTCATTATAGTCTTTGTGGGTGGACACAACTCATTTGATTTTAGTCTTTGTGGGTGGACACAATTCATTTCATTGTAGTCTTTGTGGGTGGACACATCTCATTGTAGTCTCTGTGGGTGGACACAACTCATTTCATTGTAGTCTTTGTGGGTGGACACAACTCATTTCATTGTAGTCTTTGTGGGTGGACACATCTCATTGTAGTCTTTGTGGGTGGACACAACTCATTTCATTGTAGTCTTTGTGGTTGGACACAACTTATTTCATTGTAACTTTTGTGAGGGGGTGGAAGGCACACAAATTATTTCATTGTTGTCTGTGGTGAGTAGTCTTTGTTGGTGGCACACAACTCAAGAGTTGTAAGTTACATTGAAGAGTTGTGTCTAATGGGTAGATTAGGTTTGATGGAATAATAGAATTACCTCATAATTTTTTACTCTGTTGGATTCAAAATAGAGTTTTGGGTTATTTCATGAATATATTTGAAGGTTTTTAAAAATAAGCTTAAATAGTTGTTCTTAGTGTTTCTTCCAGGCATCTCTTTGGGGAGAAAAAAGTCAGGAAGAAACACTGGTTGTTCTTACATTCAGATTTTTCTATTAAGTAGGTCTACAAGACATACCTTAGAGAGTTGTGTAAAAATGTATTCATAATCATAAGTCATCAGTGTATTTGTCGTAATGGATATTTTTAAAGTAATCCAAATATAAGATACAGTAATCATCAATTTTACACATAACATATGATGGGGAGTGTAGTTATATTTTGTTCAATATGATTTACATAGGTGCTCCTAGAATTTTTTATATAATTTAACTGGCAGTGATGCATGCTGTGGTATATCCATGCTGTTTTTCACAATGGGCCCCCCCCCCCCCCTCCCACTCACCCACCCAAAAAATGCATGATTTTCATTTCTATAATTGTAATAAAAGTAAATCTAATTAAATACTTAACACCACTGAGTCAGTGAATATGTTATAGATCTAGGTCTATAACTTAAAATGCTATTAGGATGGCGAAAAATAAAAAACAACAGTTGTGATATTTCATACGTGGACAATTGCTTTAAAGTATAAACATTGTTGATGAAGTGCATGTTTGAGATAGCCGAACTTTTAACGCTTATTTTGCCCTCCGTCAACGATTTGTTTTCTCCAGAAGTTTAAAACTAGGGGCAAATGTTTTCCCCCTATTGTAACTCGTATGTCTTGATTCTCTCCCTTGCTCTGTTGGAGGCTAGGCTACCGTCAGCGATAGTCGCTTGTTAGTCTCTGCCACAGCACATTAGGCTGCTGGCTAAAAATAACTTGGGTGTAAACGTTTTATTTTTATAATTCATATTTGACCTTTGAACTTCTGGCGACACTAACACTCCCACGTCAACTTCCTAAACCTACATTGCGTTGTTTAAATAGAGAATTTTTTTATGCGAAAAAAGTCGGTCATGTTTATGTAATACTTTTTTTTTAATTGTGTGGCTAATGGAATGTGTTTTGTATTCATTTTTTTGCAGGTCTATTATATTATCAGTGGTATGGCCGACTTCGCTTCCGTAGCGTAGACTTTTCGCTTTCTCCGACCTTTTTAGCCCGTGTAAAATTCTTCGCTGATCACGCCAGCACCCCACCCCTCGCGTCCCTTCACAAGTCTCAAGGTTTTCCCCCCTATTCGCGGCCAGCCTAACAATTTTAGCGCCACAGGAAGTTGGTGTGGGTATTATTTTTTTTTTAACTTTCGCGGGCTACATTCTTGAGTGTTGAATTGTAGCCCAATTTTTTAAATGTGTGTTTGTAGGTCATCAGATTGATGTAGTCTTAGTTTTTTTAGCCCCCTCCCCCTATCCATTGAATTTTTTTTTTACTAGTTAACTCCCCTCATCTTTTAACCATTTCCTTTCTAGTTTAGAAAATATTAAGTTAATATCTAGATAGTAAAATGGTTACAAAGTTACACTTGATCCAATACTATCCTCTCTCTCTCTCTCTCTCAGTAGTTAACTTTAACTAGAAGGACAATGCACTTTTCAACTTGTAAAACACCTATGTAGGCAGGGGGTTTGACCTCCCCCCACACCCCCCTCAGTCAATGTTGAGACCAACTTTCCCGCCTTCGCGAAAAAAAAAAACTGCTGTATCAGCGATTGTCTCGCACACCTCTCTGCCCCGTGTGATCCGCACATACCAGTCTGTTTATTGACCTTGTGGCCAGACCACTTTTCATTCATAATTCCCCCACGTGGATTGTGCCCAGCATCCGTTTAAAATTTATTCTTTATCAGTTCAACACGGGTGACGCGATTGACTTCCCCTTTCCCGCCATAGCAGTGTGCCAGTACCGGTCGTTCCTCCCTCTCTCACCACCCCCCCCCCCCCTCCAATTGACGCACACGGCTAACACTCCCCTACACACCTAAGTCGTCTGACAAGGGGGGGGGGGGGGGAGGGACGGTAGGGTCAGGAAAAGTTCACCACAACCGGTTTTTCTAAATAACCTCTGGTAGTAAAGGACCATGACCTTTCAACTGGTCAGCGTTTGGTCGCTTTCCTGACCTATCTATTTCGCCCTGACTCAGCCAACCACCGTGTAGCCTACATCGGAGATTTGAATTTTTTAAAACCAGGGCAAATCTCCCCCCTTTCTCCCCCCCCCCCCCCCCCCCCACCTCATTAGAAGTGAATTTTACCATGTAGGCTTAGTCTCCATGTGACAACTACACAACTTGAGATGGGACGGTGTGATAACTAAACTAGAAATAAAACACTCTATGGGTTTATGATTTTAATCTCGTAAAATTTTAGTTTCATAACACTGGTTGAATGACTAAGCTGTTAATATGCGAGGGGTGTTACTGCACTACAGAACACCGCTGTACTCTGTTAAATATCAGTACCCATTCATTTCCCCCCTATGACGTACGTTTAGGTGTGTCGAACTTTCCCGTCCATCTCATTCATGTTAGTTTTATCACACCAATCCTGTATTTTTTTTTATATGCGGCATATAGATGTAGACATATAACTGATGAACGGTCCACTAGATATAGGAGAGACGCTCGTTATTGTTTCAACTAGGGCTGGCTGAATCAACGCCACGGTCCATTAGCTGTGTCCAGCGGAGACCATGTGCGTTTCTTGGCGTGTCTTTGTTCTCTTTGTGCTGTGGGGTGTAATTGTCCCGTGCCAGATACTCCTCTGGCGTCCTTTCTTCACAAAAAAAAAAGTCCCGTCTTCCCCTCCTTGCCGCACAAAGCGTGTCAATCGAGCTCAAACGTGAAGGAACAGCGAACCAACGGCGGCGTTCTTTTCGTTCGACTTGAGGGGCTGGGGTTTTTTTGTTTTTTTTAACCGGTGCTGGGATTAGACGGACATTTTTGGGGGTACAGGGAGTGTTGTTTTTTAATCCCGCAATCAAAACGTGCAGCGGGTTAATCAGATGGCTGGGCCTGTAGATGTTTATTGTACCGATGTTGATGTTGGAATTTGCTGGCGATAAGGCTTGGTCTACGGCATCTTTTTTTTTTATCTGGCGTTTCCGATTTACACAAAAAAATGATTGGAGGAAGGGGAGGGGGGGAGTCAATCAATTCTGGATTTTTAAAAAGCTTTATAATGCATTTTTATAAATAGTCCTACGTATTTAAATGCGCATTAAAATGTTTTATATTCATACACTGCAAATTTGATTTTATTTCTTTGCAAGTGAAAAATTAAGTTCTTATGCCCACTTTTAAATAACCTTTGTCAAGGCCGTGAAGTTTTTTGCGCGATTACAATTCCTACATTCTTTACAAAGTTATTTCTATCACTGTAGAGCCATCACTTAGTCGATGAAGATAACCATAATGTTCTATTTTTTTTTTTTGTCTCCTGTAAGAGTACATTTCCCATCTTGGATAGCTCAGCAGCGCCGCCTATGCAGCCGGCCATCGTTGGGGGTTACTGACAAAAGGCGAAAAATCCCGCCAGAACGCCAGCACTAGGCCCTATTCAATAACATCTGTCAAGTTGAGCGACTCACTCAACGGGCCTTTGTTAAACCCCCAAAAATGGCGCCCCACTCTTTGGCTTAACTGTAGAATTTGCTTTATATATTTTTAAAATACTTCGGTGATGCCTGTCTATTTAAATCCTTTTTTTCAAATCACCATTTGACTCTGCGTGAGATTTTGACCACGTGGTCAGTTCGGTAAATTTGACTTGCTTTGACGGTCAAGTATTCGTTAGCATTTCGATTATAACCAGACTGTCTATATGAACTTTTATGAATGTAGTAACGTTATTTTAGGCCCTACAGAAAAAAAAATTAAAATATTGCTACATGGCCTGGAAGACCGCGACTTCTAAAAGTTGGTCATCTGACACACCACATGTGAACGGACATAAATCACTCCCTGACGCTCAGTGCGGGTGTTGGAGGGGGGGGGGGTATTATCCCCTACCCCACAAAACCCATTTCCCGCCACCATTATCTGCAGCTAATCTCCCGCCCGGCGTGCGGACATGTGTGGCTTGACCAGCGCATGACCATGAAGTAGCGTCCTGCAGATTCAAATCTTTTATGGCATCCTTAGTCAGCTATTTTACTCTAATTGGACGTTTTCGTTAGCCTCAACTATTAGCATGATTAAATGATGCTTCGAGTCTATCCATTAATGTACACGTTTGAAATGTTTGTAATGTAGTTAGGTGCGATACTAAAACATTTATCACTAAAGAATCTAATTCAACTCATTTTGATCTGTTAAAACATATTTTGTCTAACAAACAAAACGAAACCAAATTCCCGCGTCCCTTTGTTTTAAACTAAAATGTAAGGACTGGTTTAAACAAATGTTTGTTTTCAATGATTCCACCTGTCCAGGATTGATCTTCTCATTTAATTTTTAAAAATGTAAGGCAATACCTGTGTCCACATCTGTAATGGCGTGGGAAGTATCACGTGGTCTCGCTCTTACATGACTAAAGCTTTGATCGTTGGACAACAGCTTCCTTTAGGTTAAACACCGTATCTATAAGTACTGACAGGAGTGCGGCAAGTGCTCTTGTTACAGATATCGACACTGGAAGACATTTCTTTCTTTAATTTAAGCTCAACACATAAAACATAATTTAAATTTTAGAAATGTACACAATTGAAGAAGTGAAAAAATAATTTTTAATTTAATACAACCTAGGTCTAGGTGGATTTCAGCGGTATGTTTAACAAGTGATTATTGAATCTCTTTATGGAATGTTATATTTATATGCAGTCTTAGTCACACACACACACACCCTTTCCACACTCTGACAATACCTTAATTAATACAACTCGAGTTTTTAATAAAACATGCATTTCATTATCACATTACTTCATAGACATTTGCGGTTAAACCTCTCACAACGTCTCACATGTCTAACAGTTGTTATGCCAAATGTTAAACCTCTCACAATGGTCTCATTTGACAAACAGTTGATGGCCCAAATGTTAAACCTCTCACAATGGTCTTACTTGACGAACAGTTGATGGCCCAAATGTTAAACCTCTCACAATGGTCTCACTTGACGAACAGTTGATGGCCCAAATGTTAAACCTCTCACAATGGTCTCACTTGACAAACAGTTGATGGCCCAAATGTTAAACCTCTCACAATGGTCTCACTTGACGAACAGTTGATGGCCCAAATGTTAAACCTCTCACAATGGTCTCACTTGACGAACAGTTGATGGCCCAAATGTTAAACCTCTCACAATGGTCTCACTTGACAAACATTTGCTGGGTACAGTGTTAAACCTCTCACAATGGTCTCACTAGACAAATATTTGCTGGGTACAATGTTAAACCTCTCACAACGGTCTCACTAGACAAATATTTGCTGGGTACAATGTTAAACCTCTCACAACGGTCTCACTAGACAAAGAGTTGCTGTCCTGAATGGACTGTCCGGATAGAATCCCTCCTCTCCTGTCCAGCAATGTCCGCCGTGTGTTTGGCCTCCTCCTCCTCCACCAGCTGTTTCTTGATCTCCTCCGCCTGATGCCTCTCGTACTTGGTACGTTCGTGTATCAGCTTCTCCACGATCTGGTGCATCTTGAAGGTGGCCGTGTGCCGCAGGGCTCTAGACGCCGACCTCAGCGGGACGTGCGTGTGGATGTTGTTACTTATAGGGACACCGGTCAGCGCCTGGAGGACCATGGCTTCTGGGCTTTGACCTCCAAGATGGCTGCCATCGCGCCGCCCTCGAATACACTTCCAGCTGTATTTGGGTTTTGCTGGTTTAATGTTCTCTGTCTTCGCTACATTTTCTGTGTCGGCCGTGTCAGTCAGATTATTGCCAGTTGTCTCCGCTGTGGAATTCTGTATTGGGTCAGATGGTGGCGGGATCTGGTCGTTTTTTATGGTCGGCATGGCGAATTTTCTCAGCACGAACTTGGGCGCTGTAGGCTGCTGCTGTATGTTGATGGGCTCGTCCTCCTCACTGGTGTCGCTGTCGCTGGATCTTCTCTGTCGGCGCTGGTCCAGGCTCTGCATGAAGTCGCTGATCTTAGAGTTGATGAACTCTGTTTCTACCTGTAACATGTCCGTCGTCAACTTGGGGGTCGGTCCCTGGCCTCGTCTGATAGAGCTGGTCTGTACGTTGGTTCCTTGCCGGCTGACAGAAACGAGGTTCGAGTCTTCGTTGTTGTCTTTGAAAAAATACGCCCTCAGATCAATATACTCAGGCATGTCGTCGTCTTCGTCTGAAGATTCTAAGTTGGTTTTGGGGAAGTCGAAATGATACGAGTTGGATCTGGTGATAACGCTGTCTCTGCTGGACTTTAGCGGAGTGACGGGGGCGAACTTGACCCGTACCTCTTGCTCTGGCCTGGATTTGATCACGGGTTGCTGCTTGTGGACGTGTATGTCCGGCAGTGCCGTGGACGTCTGCCCGGGTTCAGATCGCGTGGAGACTGGCGCAGAGCTTCGTCTACGGTACACAGAACTTGGGATGGTGTAGGACGAGGTAGCGGACTTGGTGAACTGACCACGGTCCGACCTGCTGGTCATGTTCTCGTCCAGTGATTTCTGGAGCCTGTAGGACTTGAGGCTCGCCCTAGCTTTTTGTATCACGGGTGTGACTTTAATGTCATTGACTGACCTGTGGATATTTACCACGCAGTGTTTGCATTGATTACAAATTAGAAACAAAAGCACTTAAATTTGTAACTTAAAACTTAGTTGCGCTATGCTACAGTCTATCTACACAGTAATATTTAGTAACAAAAGCTACCTCAGCCTCATGGGGTACGTGAGCTTCTTGTCCAGGTACATAGAGGCGATGTTGGCCCCCAGCCGATTCTCCATCTTGCTGACCAGCGTGTCGTCATAGCTGTAGTCTTTGTCTGGCTGTGTTCTCTTCTTCACCTCCACGTGATTCCTATGCCTGTCCAGATCCAGCAGTTTAACCTTGTGATTACAAAAAGTAATGTGTATATCTTAAACTCTATCGTATGGTTGAAAAATTACCTTTAAATGTAGGCTATATATTTTTGTTTAAATTACCGACACATTTACAGTAATTTAAGCAGAATAAACAGGCAATATCTATTAATAATAGATAATAATTAATAATATGTATTACTGCAAAAAGTATAAATAATACTTGATAAATAAGCGGTGTTGTATGTGTACATTTAGACCAGACACTCAACACGTACATCTCGCGTACCTCTAGTCTGAGCTTGTTTGAGTTGTCATGCAGCTGCTTGAGGCGGCTCGTCTTCTGTCGTTCTAGCCTGGACTTGGTCATGACGAAGTGGTTCTCACAGATGTTGTTTTTGACACTCGTCAGCCTCTCGGTCATGGAGTTTTTCTTGTGCGCCTCATTGGCCGCGTCTTTCTGGAGCTCCTTGAATGGGTTGGAGACCAGCTGCTCCGTGTCCATGATGAAGAAGTTCCCTGAGGATTTCAGATGGAAGGGGATAAATAGGTTACGCTGATACACATTGTACGCCATAATATTACTACATTACCGGCAAAAAATTAACTAAGGCATTGATTACTCCGAAAATTAGTTTTATTTCAGCTACATCACGTTTTAAATATTTGGTCAAATGTTTACATTATTCTAGTCACAAAATGATTGATATTCAAAGAAGCTATTTAGAAATTGTTTCCTAGTCACGTTAGAGTTTGGTTCTTAGCGTAGAGAAAATATCCACAATAATAAAGTTTAAAACTTTACAAAACTTGCTTCATAAAATATGAGAGGGAATTTAGGTCAAATCGTTAGTTTAATCAGAAACTAGATCAATATGTAGACACATAATAAATACATGCCATTAACAAAATAGTAAAACAACTCCTTTTATAAAGTTCGCCATGATTTGAATTCGGGATCATTAAAAAATCATCTATACGCTGTCGCACAAAACTACACCACTAACGCAAACGTTTGGCCCTGTCTACCTTTTAGCTGAATACCACTGTCCAGCTTGTCGTCAGAATCCAACACATCGGCCAACTCCATGGTACCGATATCGCTTTACTTATTTTCTTGTACCGTCAACTATATCCAGTAAATATTCTTGTCACCGTGAAATCATGCTCCACTATCCAGTAAATATTCTTGTCACTGTGAAATCATGCTCCACCATCCGGTAAATATTCTTGTCACTGTGAAATCATGCTCCACCATCCGGTAAATATTCTTGTCACTATAAAATCATGCCATCCAGTTAAGTTTTATAGTGTTGAAGTATTTGCTGGAACTCCCCCTTAAAATACTCCCTAGAAGTCCTCGAGTTCCCACCGCCGCCAATAGTGTACCAATGTTATTGTGTTTCTCCTGCATGATTAGCTCTGAGAATCAAACAACCAACACGACCCGTATTGTCGCACGGCTCCAGACATTGTTTTCTTGGCCTGAACCAGGTCAATACCTACACCCTAGTTTTTTTTCTGTTTTGGTTGTGATCATAAATCATTCACGCTTGAATGGTCACTTGATAATAAGATCATTAACTTTAGGGTACCTGGGATCTTTTTTAAACCGTTCCAATGTGTTGATAGCTGTTTGTTCTATTGATTGTAAAACTGGCAGATAAAAAAATCAATATGAGGATAGGGATATTTTTTTTAGGACATGTACCTCCCACAACGCTTAATGCTGACCTTGGGTCAAAACGACCCCTGTATTTTAACCTTTGATGAGGTCACCAACTTTAGATTATATTTGCTTACGGTCATTAGTTTGAATTATAATTTTTTTTAAAGTAATTCAATGCCGACTTCCGTTAACTGTTAGTACAAAAGTAGTTTGAACCACACCCAGTCACGTATGTTGCCACGGTTTTTTAAAAACTTCCATTGAATGTCTAACAAAGGACTTGGTTTAGGAAAGATTGCCAGTAGAACTTGGAAGTGGCGTGTATGTAATTCTCAGCTCGCTAAAAGAACCCATGCATACACAAAGCGACATTATACCAGAGAGAACAGAAATAGCACGTCAAGATAATATATAACAAGAGCTTTAAAAGTTTTAAATAAAAGTAATAGGTATGAGTAAGTACGTGTACCTTCTGTAAAGTTTGAAACTAGTAACTTTGTATTATCTTGTATACGATGCGCGTCAAGTTAGTTTAGTTGTCATGCTACTAAAAGTGTCGGTATGTTCCATCATCTAAAGGTGGATTTGTGGTACTCACCGTGTTGTTCTATGTAATAGTTGGGCGCATCCAGAAAAAACATGGCGCGAATGTTTCTGAGACGGTGTTTGGTTGGTAGACAATCAGCCGAATATGTCTTTTATGGATTTTTAATTTAAATGAAACGAACACAAAAGTTCCTTAATTATAACATTCTAGTAACGTGTGAAGTTTTCCATTACGGTTTGATAAGCTTCTATGTCTCCCGTAGATCAATGGCTGTCTGCTGGTGCCATATGACACACAGGAATTTGTCTACCTATCCTGTTGTCTATACATTCCACTTTCTGTTATCTGTGGGATTTGCTTACAAGTCGATCAACCAAAACAAGAAGAACAATGCAAGCAATTAAATGGAATGTTATCTGATCTGTTGATCTCTCGTCTTCTCATATTAAAAATCCCCCCCCCCCCCCATGACTAAACTACGACTGGTACTGACAGTGTTGTTATCTATGTTCCCGGTGTATGTGGGCGATGTATGGCCCCACCTGTTGCACCTGTGATGCCAGAGTTGGATTGTTCTAGAACAAGGTGTTCTCGGGTCCCGGGGGATGTTCCAGAGATAGCTCCGTGCGCCTGCTTCACGTCTGGTAATCTGATTGACATTTCGGGTTTGTCTATGGGGTCTTGTGTTGGCCATGTGTGTGGTCGAGTGGGGTAGGAATCTTGAGATACGAGCGAGACGTTCGCCGTCATGAGGCGTTGATGCCATTCTGTTTAATGGCGGGTCTGATGGAAAAGTCCTGGTTGTTTAACGACCAAAACATGGATATTCAGTTGTCGATAAACTCGAGATATGGTTAACATAAATAAAGGATATATTTAATATCAGTGGCGTAGCCAGGATCGTCTCAGGGGGGGGGGGGGTCCAATTTTTACCCGGGGACAAACTTTCGATTTGTACCCCCCTAACCCCCCCCCCTGCCTACGCCACTGTTTAATATTATATATCATACAAGATTTGATCACTGTAGATTTTGAAAGGAAGACACAAGATAAGCATACTAGCTGCAATACTATTAGACGCTTTTTAAAAACTCAAACTTAAGTACTGAAGGGGCTCTGTTAGCGATACCCACCTGTTTTGTTTACATCTCGGTGTGTGTCATGTACCGACAATACTCATACTATCGTCATTTTGGATATTTGATTGACGCTGATATTGTTTCCCTAGGTTTATCTGCCATTAGACTAAACACGCTGTTGCTAGATGATATAACCATAAAAACACAAAGAACTTTTTTTGCGCTAAAGTCTCGCGTCTGTAACTCGTATAACAAGACCTACCTGTCTGTACGATTGGCGAGATGACCGAGTCATATTCACTGGCCTCTGGTATGAATGTGGTATCAATACGGGCCATCAGAGATCAACCTTTTCGTTATACTAGGCTTGTGGATGTTGGCGTCAACATTGCCCGGCCATCTCAGCTAGTTGTACTGCTACAGTCTTGTGGGTAGGATCTTACTGTCGACTTGCATGCAGCTTTGTCTACACTGCACAGAGGACAGAATAACTTTGTTATTCACCAACATACACGGCAATCTGCCAATGTCTTTGAGAATGGCGTCATTCTAAACGTTTTGTCTTTAGAGTCGCCTGACTGATTCTTGGCTTAATTGCCTTGTGTCAGGCTAGATCAGGGTGTAATGTGTAGGTCTCTGCTTTACTGAACACGATTGTGATAGATTTAACTGAGGATCTAACTTAGCTAGGATATTTCCATAAATCAGGGGACATGTCAATAAACCAGGGGACATTTCAATAAACCAGGGGACATTTCAGTAAACCAGGGGACATTTTATTTGACCAAGGGACATATCAATAAACCAAGGGACATATCAATAAACCAGGAGACATTTTATTTGACTAAGGGACATATCAATAAACCAAGGGACATGAATAAACCAGGGGACATTTTATTTGACTAAGGGACATATCAATAACTCAAGGGACATATCAATAAACCAGGGGACATTTCAGTAAAAAGGGGAGATGTCAATAAACCCGATGACATGTCAATAAACCGGGGACATGTCAATAAATCAGGGGAAAAATGAATTAGAAGATTAATCATTTACAAATAGGAAGGTAACTTGTTAGTAGAGATACTCGTTCATTCAAATGAGCTGGTGCTTATGTCTATTTTTTTACACATTGCTAGACAATACAATGTTTCTAAGGGGAAGATAAGCTTCACGCACTGTGGTTTTTTTTTAAGGAAATATTAGCGACATTAACCATTAAGTCGATCCGAGTACAAATTAAATTTTCTTATCACTTCGACACAAAAACCATCAGATTGTAAAAAGTAAGTATAGATCTAGTGCTAATTGTTTTGTAAGTTAAATATGAACTCACAATACTTAAATTTAAAAAAATTTAAAAATCAACAGAGAATAAAGCTATTTTTAAAATACCCGTTTTGGTCACAAAAATATTTTTAGAACATCCAACGCTTTTATTTTTACTAGCATAGCTTAGGAAAATGTAAATTTCTTTTCTTTCTTTTATTGTATTTAAAAGTTTATCACTGACTGTAAAGGTTTTACATGTTTATCATGGTACATGACAATAAACTTTGAATCTTAAATGTTAATATCTGCTTGCATGAAGAAAACTCGGGGTTTGAATTTTTATGTGTGTCATTTCGACATAACTGCGAACTCCAAAATGTGACGTCACACACCATGAACCTCCTCCACCCATGCTCATACGAGGGCAGCACGTGTCACAACTGAGGGTCACGCTCCCCCACCCCCTCCCCCTCAGTCGCATACAACATGTAACATGGGGGGACCCCTCGCCATCTGCCACACGTTAGGGTCCCTCCCACACATGTCACATGTGTGACAACCTGTCACCCCTTGCAGTTTGTCAGAGATCCTTTCTCACCCCCCACCCCCACCACATGTTACATATCTGACCTGCCACCCCTTCTTCTGCGATGTATGTTAAACGTGATATCCTTTCTTATCCCCCACCCCCACCACATGTTACATACTTAGGACCTCGGCTTCATTTAGCCGCCTGACGTATTCATGTACGACCTCAGCGCACTGAAAGAAACTTTGTCTAGAGTCTAGACATGGTCACGGCAAATCTCGCACGTGTGGCCTCGGTAATTAGTGTTATGTGAAATTTGTTTTATAAATATCGCTAGAACTCGTGGTTCCTATCGCATGTGGTACACAGTAGTAACTTCATTGATCAGTATGGCGCGTCCACTTTTGGGGTATAAGATGTGTTTCATCACATTTTAAAATTTGTAGAAAAATTCCTGGCAGTGGTGTTGTGACGTCCGACTAGTGCGGCAGCGAGCTAGTGGTGTGACGTCAGATTGGTGCGGCAGTGGGTGTTGTGACGTCAGATTAGTGAAGCAGTGAGCGAGTGTTTTAACATAACACGTATGATGTTAGTTTGAATCCGGGTTCCTGAGTTCACCCAGCTCTGAGGAGTACCTAACTCAGGGAAATTAAAGGGGGCTGGACATAATGCTGACTACACTATCCCTTCATATACCGAGGTCACATAAACAGATGAACTCTACTTCATTTGCCGCATGGACCGTCTGGTTCGAAAAGGAAAGTTTACTTTTACAGATGCCATTGCGTATCTGTACCACACTCCGATATTATGTTTACAATTAATTACCGACTCATCTCCCTATCCAATTGATTAATTTCCCAGATAAATGATCTTCTGGCCAGCCAGAGATCAAGGTGTTAAACCAACGCGCCGAGCGTGTGCATAACGTAGGTTTAACCTGCTCTGTTTTCTTCCCGGTTTCATCAACTAGGCGAGAAAATTATTTCAAGTAGACACGCTGGTTTATGGCGGGGGGAAGGGGTGTCGTTTCAATATATTATAGGAAACCATTAGAGCATACAAGGTTAGTAAGTGTGATGGGGGGGGGGGGGTCTGATATCAGGAGGGGATGGGTCGAGATTCAATGTTTTGATGTTCAGGTTAAGACATCAATGAACGGTAAACGGAAAAAAAGTCACAGGAAAAAAAAACACAGAAAAAAAGTCACAGTTTTTGCTAGGAAAAAAAGTCACAGAAAAAAAGTCACAGTGGAAAAAAAATTTTGGAAAAAAAGTCACAGAAATAAAGTCACAGAAAAAAAGTCACAAAAATATTTTTAGAAATATTTTTTTTATTTGTTTAGAATTCTAAAATTTTGTATGTTTCTTGTTGTGGTTTGTATTTTTTATAGCATAAATTATTTATAGACGTCAAAAGCATTATGGTTTATAACAATTGTAAGTAAAAATACTCTAATATAATTTACACAACAATCTCAACTTTTGTTACGTATTTAGTTAAAAACGCGGTAGAAAATTTAACAAAAAAAAAATTTAGGCACATTTTGCCGTAGGCTATTCTCTGGTCGGCCTCTCCTCAGTAGGCATTGTCCGAACATATTTTGTATTGTTGACGTCATGCGTCAATGACAGCATTTGAACCTTGTCGGCTTTCTTTTTTATCCTAAGTGTTGTTATGTAATGAGCGTGATAAATGTGGGCAGTAAAGGTGGTTGAACTAAACATCTAAACATAACTATTGTGGCCATGAGTTGAGGGCAGAAAGTCAGACGAACTTACCATTTCACGGTAATTTAATGTTGGTATTTAAAAAAAAACAGGATTAAAACCGTGGACTTTGGAGCATTCTATTAAACGCTACTAATCTTAAGTTTAAAATAATTACAATCTACATACTTCATACTAAATATTTTTTAGATGAATTATAAAAATTCCTATGCGTATACAGCCTACACACATTACATTACATTTAATTAATCCTAAAATAATTTGCACTCTCTGAATATTTAATACATAAAAGTATTAACAAGTATCATGCAAATATATATTTGTGACTTTTTTTCCTGTGACTTTTTTTCCTGTGACTTTTTTCCTGTGACTTTTTTTCTGTGTTTTTTTTTCCTGTGTTTTTTTTTCCTGTGACTTTTTTTCCTACAATCCAATGAACATGTTTAGGAACATGACGTCAGCTTTTTTTTTTTTTTTTTACGTTACGTCTTGGTTGATGGAATGTATTCACTGCCAAACTACACGGGCAGGAATGAATGTGTGCAAGATTTATTTTCAAGTGATCAAGTAGCAGCACGCATCGTATGGTACAGGATATAGATCTAGATCTTGATAAGTTATTTGATATTGGACAAGTTAGAACTAGTATATATACATGTTCTACAATTGTTATGTAGACGTTTTTTTTTTTTTTTATTTGGATGAAACCAAGATTTAGGTGGCGAGTCATGAACGATTATAAATACTAATTAAACATTTGTACACAACACAAGAACATAAAGAATTTTTTTTTAAAAAGCTGAAGATACCGTATTATTACTAAATGTGTTATTTTACTTAATTAATTTTTTTTTAATTCATCTAACTGCTTGAAGCGCATTTTATGCTAAATGTTTGACATTAAAATCCCGTGTTATACATTTTGCTTACAAGTTCGCACGGTGGTGGGTGTTAAATTGCGTGTTGAAAAATCTCTCTCGCCCCCTCCCCTCCTCCTCGTAAGATTTCTCTCTCCATTATCTGGTTCAGGTAATCTGTAATCGCCCGTCAACATTTTTCATATCCCGGGGCCCTTTAAATTCTAATCACAACGTAACATATCTAGATTGCGTTTGTAATCCTTGTTGTAGTTGAAGTGATACCAAGTTTTGCGCAGGGCATTTTAAAGCCCTCGTTATCTCCTCCACGTTGCTGATACTGGTTTTGTTGTCAAACATCTCGATATTTAATTATTTTGTACACAACAGCAAGACATAAGTTCCTGTATACATCAGCCGTGCTGTTTTAGTTATATTTTATAAGTTGTCCCGCTATTAAAAAAATAAGAACACTTAATACTATGCATGAAACAACAAAACACGTGTTTAAAAAAAGATGTGATCATTGTATGTGAAATCACCTGTAAAGTTGTTGTAGTGCCGGCATACATGAGTACCACGTGATATCACTCACTGCTGTCGGTGCTGGCACCTGTAAGCAGCACTCACGTAACTGTCTGAGGGGGTCAAGACTCCCCTCTCTCTGACGTCAGTCTTGTTGACACGGTTGCTTTGAACAGTTTCTCGTAGCTTTCCTCAGTTTTACAGTGTCTCTCATAAGTTTTACGCTAGTTTTCATCTGTTTTACAGTGTCTTTTATGAGTTGTACGGTAGTTTTCATCAGTTTTACAGTAGCTTTCCTGTTTTACACTGTCTCTCTTAAGTTTTATGTAGTTTTCATCAGTTTTACAGTGTCTTTCATCAGTTTTTTGGTAGTTTACATAATTTTAATTGTAGATTTCATCTGTTTTACTGTAGTTTTCATCAGTTTTTTGGTAGTTTTCATCTGTTTTACAATGTCTTTCATCACTTTCACTGTAGCTTCATCCGTTTTACAGTGTCTTTCAACAGTTTTACAGTAGCTTTCATCAGTTTTATGGAGCGAATTGAAACTATACATTGGATACACTTGTCATATGAATAAACTCAATACAGAAGTTGATGGGGTTTATCTTGATCTTTGAATTTTTTATTTTGAAAAACGGTGATAAATAATTTTTAGAGCATATTTTGTTGTGAAAACTATAAAACCGTTACTGATTACACAATATTTTTAAAAAAACAATTTGCTTTTAGTCAGAATTTCAACATTTTTTTTAATGTTTCCTTTTTCAGGTGATATTTTAGGTTTGTTGTTGGACTTGGAAAATCAGTACTTAATATTTTACCTGAATGGGGACCCACTGCCCAGCTACAAACAGTTGTTTACACATGCCAGGTAGGTTGGGAATCCTTACCTGTACTGACAGTTGGTCAGCACTGCTAGCTTCCCTGTTAAATCATCACTTATCATACAAGCACTTTATCCCATCTTTGATAGAACATCTAGAGCGACTATAAAAATAAGAGAGTTGTATATTAGTATTATTATTATGAGTCTAACACAAAAAAACGTTGGGTTTGATAACAAAAGTCAAGCAAGACCACATATTGGATGTTTGTTTTGATATCACTGGTCACATGATGTTGTTCATCAAAGGGCACCACTGAGCTGTGTTTGTTTCTCCTTCCCTTCTTGTTTAGGACTGGGTTCTTTGCAGCTGCTAGCTTTATGTCTTTCCAACAATGTGAGTTCAACTTTGGTGAAAAACCTTTCCGCTACCCACCACCTAAGCCCTTCAAAACCTTCAGTCAGTACGGGAAACTCCTGCCTGAAGAGAGAATTGTTCTGCCCAGGTAAGTCACCACTGGTTCGCCTTTAATAAGTGTCAATCACACATCCATTGTTTTTCAAAAAGTCAGTCTTTTACTTTTACATAAGGAAAAATATAGGATTTGTAAAAGTAAGATGACAAAAATCCCATGTATAATAAAAATGTCTTTGTACTAAAATGCAAGCAAATATATTGAGTTGACATTTGAAAATCACGTTTGTTTTATTGAAGGCATCAGAAAATGGCCTTGATGAACCAGTTTGTGGTCAGTGAAGATGCTTGCACCTTATGTTTTGATAATGTTGCAGACACACAACTTTTGGATTGTGGGCACAGGTGAGTTTTACCTGCCTCATAAATTAAATTTTAAAAAATACACATTTTTATAGAGGGGGGATGTGACCAGGTTAAAAAAAAAGTCTGGGCATTATTCAAGGAGGTCCTCCAAGCCATATTACATATAATGTAATGATAAACCAAAATGGGAGATTTTTTTTACCTCTGTAATACAGCATAACAGGCTTTTTTCTTTCTTTAAAATCTCAGGGGATTCTGTGAAGTTTGTGCTATCCAGTTAGAAAAATGTCCCATCTGTCGGAAGGAGATCTTAGAGCGTGTGCGCTGCCTGGGAGAGGGCCGGTCACCCACGCCAGCCATGACACTGCTCCAGATGCCTGTGGCCTAAGCTTTACATGTCTGATGTCGTCATCCCTCCCCACCCCCACCTGCTTCCCATAGTCTCCCCTAGCTGCGGGTGTGAGTTGAACGCACCAACACCTGTACAGGTACACCATTTCAATCTATGGACAGTTCAAATCTGTGCACTTGGTTTAGAGTTCAGAAAAGCTCTGATGAACTTCATTGATGGCAGCAAGGCTCCATAGCTCGCCTGTGGAATTCTGGTAGATTGGTAAGGGCTTTGTGGAATCTCTAACAACACATCAGGGGGAAAATCTCTACACAATTTTCAGGCTGTGAAAAAAAGACATTGCTACAAACAACAGTTCATTGCGTATCAAATACAGTTGCAATATCAATGTATTGAAATATCCTAATATATTCTGTGTGACTTTTGTAATGCAACATCACAGCATCCTGTTCATTAAAAAAAATATCTTATTTGTATAATGTACTGTATATGACTGTTTTGTTTAGCTCTCAAAACATAAGCATTTTAAAATATTTCAAACAGCTTGCATTCTTATAATTCAGCTAGTTAGGTGTGAAATAGCTATTAGTGCATGAGTTGGGAGGGCGGGACTGAATGCTTTAGCAGGGGCCCCATGCTTCTTTTAAAAATAGGTGAGAAAAAAATGTTGTTTAAATAACACTTCTAATTGAGTCAATTATTAGCCTGAATCCAGGTCATCATTTGTTAAAGCAGACAATAGACAACAGTTTAATTTAATTTGTACAAGAATGAAATTTCACATTTAAGTTTGATATGTTAGGAGAGTCTTTCCTATGGTAGCTGTGACTTGTTAAATGACCTGGTTAAAACTTTAAAATTGTGTGCCAGGTACTCACTGAATTTTAAAACCAAATATAGAAGTAGAGATGCTGAAATCCTCTACCTCTTTTACAGTTGCTTTGCTTATAGAATCAAATACATGTAACAAACTAAATGAAAAAAAAACATACTAGTTTTCACTGTGTGAAAGGAAAAAAATAATGGGAAAAACTACTTAAAAACCCTTTGATGAATGTAAATAAACAGGTATTTTGTTGTACATGATGTTGTTGGTATAGGAGGTGAAATGTAGACCAAAGTCTAGGAGAGAATTTATGCTTTGATTTGTATCATATTAAATTGATGTTTTCTACAAGTTTCTATTCAAATGTAACTCCAGTATTATAACATATCAAAGATGCTTGTTTGAATACAGTAACTGCATGCCAGTAGACAGCCTATCCTCACACTCCATAACTGCACAATTTTAGTTTTGTTTTTAAAATTTTCGTTTGTCTTCCAATGTAACTAAATTAATATTAGGAAAAAGATCAAACATCAACAAATTTTTGTTCGGAATTTATTGATCAAAGTTATTAAGCTTAAAAATTTATTATGGTTTTCTTATTTTGTACTTATTGCAGTTATATGTTAGTGGAGCTTTTTTTTTTAGAACAACATATCAAGAAGTCTACATATTATATTGGACAGAAGACTTTAGAAAATAATATCCTACTTCATTTAATTTAAATATGTGGTTTAATAAAATCTTTGATGAAGTAACTAGGATTTTTGTAAACATTCTATCATCGCATTCGATCATGTCTTATCTATTACGGTATCTCATTTATACATCTGTTGTAAAAATCAAATATTAATATCAATACACTTTCATCCCTCTGATGTCAATATTTTAAATTATACTTAAAATGTTTTACTTTCATTAGTAATTTATTACTGGGACTAATTAATGCATGAAACTAACATAGTATATGTTGTCACATGCTGCGTAATGATTATCTTTTCTTCTACCCGATGATGTTTTCATAGTTCAGTGGCATGTGTATGTATGAGTAATCTTTGAATCATTACATAAATCAGATGTTTGTAAGTTCTGTATTTACACATTACTATGGGGTAGTTAATTGTTTATATTTTGTGTCCCAATAAGTTGAGTTTTTAAAAAGATATATGGAATTTTTAAAACAGGCCATAGTGAATGAATTTGTTAATGATCAGGTCTAAAGTTAGTGCTTGACTTGAAGTTCTACCTGGAGTGTCAGTTAGACTCCATGCAGTGGCAATATCTGCCTGGTGAGAGCTGTTAACATTCACTCTTTTACCACTAGTTGTAGGGTCAGCCGTAACCATTCACTCTTTTACCACTAGTTGTATGGCTAGTTCTAGGGTCAGCTGTAAACATTCACTCTTTTACCACTAATTGTATGGCTGGTAGTAGGGTCTTAAATATGATCCCAGTTTTAACAGGAAATATATAGTATAGCAACTATAAACATCAGCCCACTTTAGCACTAGAATAAATGATCCTACTATAGCACTTCAGGTGATTTTAGCACAATAATATGTATGGCTATTTTTGCATATGAACGAGACATATTTTAACATGTTAACAAATAAGGCCATTATAACACTTATATGTGGCCATTTTATCACATAAACAAACATGCTATTTTAGCTCTGAGCTATGTACAGCCCTAATTGCACCTGAAGGCCACTGTATATTGTTGTTTTGTACAGAACTAATGTTGTTCACTGTGTGTACACATTGGCTTGTGATAACCTGGTGTTCAGCAATCCTGTGCTGAGTTTTACAATGGGTCAGTGCAATATCATCAGCTTCTGGCATCAAGGAGAGTCTGTGTATGTGTGTGTTACAGGATATCTTGTATTCATGTCATTCATTTTTATGTACACATCTGTTTTAAAGATTTGGTTTGATTTTTATTGAAGTCCATTCAGGCAGTGAAGTGATCAATATTGAAAGATATTTCCTATTATTGTCCATCTGGCTCTTAAATTTAAACTTTTAAAAATTAAATGCTCATTTTTTTATAATTGGCGACCACAAGAACAGGCAAACTCTACTTCATCCACACACAAAGTCAGTTTATTTATTGAATTTCAAGGTGTATTAAAAGTTGGCAAAGACTACTTCATCTGTTTTTTAAAAAGGTTACATGGGTGTTTTAATTACCAGTTTAATTAAAGTTTGACTTGTTATGTATTAACTTGACCTACAGCTGATGAAACTTACCATTTGGCTTGCCATAGCTTGAATCAGGCTGTCATGGCTGGGTCAGGTTGTCATTGGTTGGGTCTGGTTGTCATTGGTTGGGTCAGGTTGTCACAGTAAGCTGGACGGGTTATTGCAACAACCTGCTATTGTAAACTATTACTCACCTGTAAATCACAGTTGTGTAGTAATTAAAATATTGTAGATAGACCTGGCATATTGTAGGATAACAGTTTATAGCTGAGGTCCATGGTGTCTCAACTAATCAGTTTTTAGACATGTATTATATGGCTTGGATGATAATTTGTAATTCTTGTACTTACATGATCAAATATGAATGAATGCTGGTGATCAAACTTTCAAGCACTTTTTTTTTTTTAAACAGCATTTTTAGGTTTGATGTCTATATCCCTGACAGAGCATTGTAATACTAGCTTTCTCATGTTTGTACTTGCTCTTTATTTTCTAGTTGAAATGCTTTAAAAATGTCATTATTTACTTACAGTTACATTGTTCTGAGTGTCCTGTATTTAAGCTCCTGTATTTTTTTAAATTTGTATCTGTAACACGATGCATGTACATACTGCTACTGTATGTATTGAAACATCTATCTTCTTGTATACGTTGTATTCATTTATTTTTATATATGACTGAGTTTGTTTTTTTTCTAGACTTATGCATTCTGATTATTTTAATTGAAATTATTTTAAAAAATTATTTTTTACAGTTTTAAATAAAGATTTATCGTGCTTAAAGATACTACATTTCAGCTTTTAATGAAAGGTTTTTAATTAACTATATATGAACCAACAAGGGTCAAAGAGTACTAGCCTTAGGCTCCAGGTTCAAACCCAGGTCAGCCTAAAGATAGTCAACAGCCCTAGCTGACTCAGCGTAGTTGGGAGTAAACTAGTACAAGTCATTAAATGACCACAGAAATTGTCATCCCATGTCCTGGGTTTTGATCAGAGTGCAACAGGGCTAATTGCTTTTGTTTTACATATCTAATGTTGTATGTGAGCTATATCATCCCTGTCAAAGTGAAATCCTTGTGGTGGTTGCTTGTATTATTTACATGTAGGTTACAGTGATGATGTTTGGACCAGTGGTTGCTTGTATTATTTACATGTAGGTTACAGTAATGATGTTTGGACTGTTGCTTGTATTGTTTACATGTAGGTTACAGTGAGGATGTTTGGACTCTAGTGGTTGCTTGTATTATTTACATGTAGGTTACAGTGAGAATGTTTGGACTCTGGTGGTTGCTTGTATTGTTTACATGTAGGTTACAGTGATGATGTTTGGACTAGTGGTTGCTTGTATTGTTTACATGTAGGTTACAGTGATGATGTTTGGACTAGTGGTTGCTTGTATTGTTTACATGTAGGTTACAGTGAGGATGTTTGGACTCTAGTGGTTGCTTGTATTATTTACATGTAGGTTACAGTGAGGATGTTTGGACTCTAGTAGTTGCTTGTATTGTTTACATGTAGGTTACAGTGATGATGTTTGGACTCAAGGTTGACAGGGTGACTGTTGGTGTGCTTATTTTATGTGTTAATGCTGATATTTTTGAATGTTTACTAGTGAATAATGATTGCTTGCATACACAATGTCTGAATGATTGTGCACAATCTTTGAATGATTGTTTGTGTGCATAATGTTTGAGTAGTTACTAGTGTACACAGTTTTTGAATTATTGTGTTTGCATGAACAGTTGTTTTTCCACAGTATCTGAATGATTGTTTGTGCACAGTTTGAATGATTATGTGTATAGTGATTGAAGTCCCTAGTACATGCAATATTTGAATGATTGTGTGTAAAGTGATTGAAGTCCCTAGTGCATGGAATGTTTGAATGCTTGCTTGTGCACACAATGTTTAAATGTCTGTCTCTAATTTTAGCTCCACTATTTTTCCATAATCAAAACTGTAGGGAGGTAAACACCATAAGGAAACTTCAGCTGCTCACTTGTCAAGCTTGAAGTTTCTTCTGTGTGTTTCTAACCTTATAGATGTAGCTTAAAAATTGTGGGTTTTTTTTTATTGATGTAAAAGCCTTTCATTTATTTATGATTCTTTAAAGTAATATAAAAAAATAAAGGGTATTTTAAAGTCAATTAAATAATTTTTAATAAAATTTCTAGGATGATTTAGCTGACTTGATGGGTTGACTTGATGATGTAGTTGACTTTGAATACTTTGATGATGTAGCTGGTGGTGTGGTGTCAACACTACCCTGTGCTACTGCCTATAGAAAATGGTTTAAAAGAATGGTAGATACCCCCATCTATGCCCTTACTTATTTTAATTTTTTTAAATAATAAGAATATTTTGTTTAAGAACTAAACTAACTTTTAAAAATGTTTTTATTAATTTGTAGTATAAAAACCACTTTTACACTGGCTAAGTTTACATGAATTTGCAACAATGAATAACGGCACTTTTTTTTTAGTAATTTTTTTTTTAAAATCCTATCAACCTTGTCAGCAGCTGATTAAAAAAAAAAAATTCTGTACTAATTTACAAAATCATTTTAATTAATTTTTATATTTATGTCTATGTCAGATTTTTAATCCAAATATTTCCGTGTAAAAACTCAATGATTAAAATGTCAAAGTTTTTTTTTTTAATTCAACTTGTATATTGTTTAACCCTGTAATGCCCAATTTACTTTTTTTTTTCTCCTATATAAACAAACTGCCTGAAGGCGGCCTTTGGGCATTGGAGGGTTACTACAGTGTCTTCTGTCACGAGGTAGAACGCTCAGTGTATGGTTTTCTATGTACATTGGATTGTATCTTTGTTCTCGGATGACTTATTTCAGCTATGTGATATACGAGCATGATTCACACATTTGATGGCTAGTTTCCTCATGGAACACTCATTAAATCATCTCACACAAACTACTCACTGTGTTGGTCTTGTGTGTGGGGGGCGGGAGAGGTAGTTAGGCTTAATTTACCGTGAATAAATTCATCTAAGTGGTGTGGTTTTTTTTATTGCAGCTTATGAGTCGCCCAATAACGTGGCTGCTTTGGTCTGTCGCCCAATGATCATAAGCTATGTTTGCATAATTTAACATAATTAGCGTGATTAACAGCCGTAACTTGTGAAGAATTTCACTTGAAAAAGTTCATACATTCCTTAACATACAACTGCAACCTGTGTACTAGACATTTTTGTCCAGTGACTAGCTAGGAGTGGCCATCCATTCATCCATTACTTTCAATACTTTTTTTTTTAAATCTACATCGTAAAGTGCTGAGATTGTCCCGGTATAACTTAGTAAAAAAATATCCTTTCATTTCCTGTCGATTTGACTGCGTCATATTTATTTTCTTGAATGGCGTCATATTTATTTTCTTGAATGAAATAATAGGGGGGGGGCTTAATTAGCCTTATGTAAATAGGCCTGCCAGCGTGAGGTAAAAATGAATGTCCACGGTTAGTGGGAGGATTCAAGTCTGACCGGTCAGTGTGGCATTGAATGTCCGAGACCAAGTCTGTCAGACGTCTGACAACTCTTGTGGTGCTGGACCAGCATCATGGTGTGCACCGACTTGGTTTAAACCGCGACCACCGTGTTGACCGGAACTTGCATGACGTCATGTGTATACATTGGGTCAAGGCCACGATGACGTTACATCAGGGATACACGACGGTTGACGATTCAATATTTGCTTCAGTGCTAGCCCCCATTGGGGTGGTTTCCTTTGACATTAAATCATATCGCAGCTGTGTGTCAACGACTCCAAATTTGGTGCAAGTTCTAAGCCTCATAGTTATCGTGCTATATTTTCCCTATACATCGTCTTCAGCGCCGACCTTTGCACCGCACTTCAGCAGAGTAATGCGTGACTGTAATAAACACGACTTCCCCAATGGAAGAAATTCTTCGGTTATATTAAAATACTAGACAACAACAACAAAACACGCCCCAGTTTACGTCGGTTTATTTTTATCTGCGTACAGCTCCTACATCCATTTACCATTTAGCTCGGCATCGACAGCGGCCACCCGTTTGTTACCAGCGTACAGCTAAAATCGATAGGAATCAATACTACGGATATTCTTGGCGCTTTGTTTTCTTCAGGATCCCCCCCCCCCCTCTCCCATGTTTTTACAGCTCATCTTGGCCCTGTCTTGTTGCCTGCTATATTTGAAAGGGATTAGGCGTGGAACATGGGCTTGAAAATTAGTACATCCTTCGTTCGGTTTAGACAAAAAAAAAATGTGACCCACTTTTCCACCCAACAGCTGAGAGGGGGATGAATATGTCCCTTTATTCGTCGCAGTCCCCACATCTCTTTGTCGACGTTTCAAAAATTTAGGTCGGCCGATTTTATCTTGCTGTGGGGCTTTTTTGTCTCTCTCGGCTTGTGTAGCGTGCGGTGATTGGCCGAGCGCGCACAATGGCGGGGTTTTCCCCCATGAACCTACCCCGTGCCAACAGCGTAATGTTGGGTAACATGGCTGGTGTTTAGAGGCGGCTTGTTGGTTTGCCTGCCTGTCTCCGTCTGCCGTGTAGGCCCTCCTCGTGGAGGGGCGAAGCGTGGCTTCATCTGCCAGCCCGAGGCCAGCGTGTAGACGGCCACGGCGAGTGTAGGCTGACCGATAATGTAGACGGCAACCACGAATGTAGACAGACCGTTGCTGTAGACGGCAAGTGTAGGCTGACCGTTAGTGTAAACGGAAACGACAAATGTAGACGGCCATGGCAAATGTAGACTGACCATTACTCTATGCGGCCCGTAGCGAGTGTAGACTGACCGTTACTCATCCAATGACCAGAGGGCGAGCTAACAAAGAGATTTTTCTTCTTTGTTATCGGCCAGTAAGATGCTCTCATTAAAAGAGAGCATGCTGGATTTAATTAGTTTAGAGATGCAAATTTTCTTGTCAAGACCTGTCAAATTTAATTTTAAAAAAATAATAACCAGCTGTTTCTTGTGAAATATTTTTAAAAAATGAATCAAACAGTTCGAGAAGCGATAAAGTTAGCCAGCCGTATTATCGCCAAAATACATTTTAGCGCTAAATGAAACAGGTGATAATTTTTTAAACAAAAAAAAAAAAAGAAAATTAAAATAAACCGGGAGTGATCTCCCCTAAACTTTCTCGAATATTCTTATATAAAATAACAGGGGATGGGAACTCGGGCTATAGACATGATTTTTAATCCATTTTAAATACTTAAAGTTTTAAAAATAGAATAAAATCTCGTAGACAAATTAATTGCACACCAAGTGAACGCGAAATAAAAAAGCGCATAATAGTGCGCAATATTATTATTACTTTTAAAATTTACATTAGTTTTTTGAGAAATCGGAAGTAGCGTAAAGTACTACTTCCAGTCAACGGAAATGACTCAAAATTTAATAGAAGGTAGAGAATTAGATCTTTTACTTACGTATGAAATTTCATTTATCTATCTGAAATAGTACTCAAGTTATAGGCTTTTGAAAAATTCAAAGTAGGAAAAGTACCACTTCCGGTTATCGGAAATCGCTCAAAAGTTGATACGGATCTACGATTTTGATTAAATACTTATATATGAAATTTCATCAACCTAGCTGTAACGGTACTCAAGTTATCGTGTTTACACACGGACACACACACACACACACAGACATACGGACAAGATTGCAAAATTATGTTTTTCCGTATCAGTGAGATGCAAAACGTCGAGATTTGCAAAAATCTCGATTTTTTTTTTTTTTTGCACGATTACAAGACTTTCTCTATACTTCGTATATACGAGAAAGTAAAAAAAAGTAAATTTTTTCAATAATTCTTGCCCCATCAATACGGGTATTTTTAGCATTAAAAACATTTTTAAAATAGCAGTGACAAACAGTGTCACACATTCTAAATATTGTTTCTGTTTTTCTTCCTAAACCAATGGGTCTTAAATATTTTTAAAAGCTGGATAAAAACCGATGACCCAAAAACATTTTACAATAGTTTTCTTTTTTTTTTTTTACTTTAAAAGGGAAAAAAAAATCTGCGTTGAAAGCAAACGACCCTTTTATTGGTGTCAGCCGCAGGTACAGATCTGCACATGACGTGTCCCCGTCTGTACACGTCAGACATTCCAAGGTGCCGGCCGGGACACGTTCTGGAACATTGGGCTCTGCGGTTTTCTTCAGTCAGGACAAGGCACAAAAGTTGTGTACAGAGCGGCAGCGACACTGGCGCCTAGGTGCGCTCCTTACCCCCCCCCCCCCCCATCCTACCTCTTTTAAGTTATATACCGCAAATATGTTTTCTTTGTAATTGTTGCACTGGCTCGACCCTTTATTTTTTTACGTGGTTGGGGCTATAAATAGTACTAATGCGCAAAGCACACAAACAAAAATCTCAACGACAGTGAAAGTTCTGAATTTCAGTCCATCACGACCCCGTGGTAAAGCCAATGTAGTTGACAAAAGTTTTGCTAAGAAAAAATGGCAACGAAAAATTAAATTCAGATTAGCTCCCACAGAATTATACACCGTAATTAGTCGCCACTAAATATTATATTTAGATGTTAAATTAATAGGTCTTTAAACGAAGCATAAAAAATAGCATGTTTCACAAAACGTATAAACCAACATGCAAGATTTTTAAAAATTGACAAATAGGCCTAAGACTAATCAACAATCAACATACAAATCTAAATCAACATACAAGACTAAACAAGTAACATATGATACTAAATACTGGAATTAACACACAAGAGACCCAACATGCAAAAAACTGCAGCTAGCATCCAAGATGAAACTACAAGCTACATGTAATCAAACATTTCCATAGACCGCCACTCCCTAGATTATTAAACTAATTTAAAAACTTTTAGAAATCAGACTAGCTTTAATTAGGTAATTAAAATTAAAGTGGCATTGTCTCAAATGTTAGAGTTTGTGGGAAATTAAGTTAAATCCTATTTACAGTTTATTATTTCACTGGTCTGTAAAATGTTTAGGAGCTACGTTTTTGTTGGGTAAAGCAGGCTGGTCATTCATCTCCAAAATAATTTTTTGTGTGTTGTCCTTCAAGTCTTAGTTGTAGACATTGGTAGTGGTAGTCTTCTGTTATTTATGCATGGCATTCAGCAGTGTTTCTTCCAGACTTTTTCTCGGGGGGGGGGGGGGGGGGGGAATTGAAATTTTCGGGGGGGGGGGGGGGGGCGACGACGGACGGGACTAAAAATTTTCTATATAAATTCCATTTCGTTTGGGCGGAGGGGGCGGTAGACTTTCTTCGCCCCCCCCCCCTCCGTAGGGATGCCTGGAAGAAACACTGCTCTTCAGATAAAATAATCGTAAGTCTCCTGATATAGTCTCCACGTCTTATTAGAGACATATGAGATAAACGTCTATTGGGTATTAAAGCTAAGGTCAGTCATAGGTTCTATTGGGTTCACTCGTTTATTTGTAAGTTAGTACCATCCACAATAATGAAGGGGATGGTGGATTTCTGATATATATATATATATATATATATATATATATATATATATATATATATATATATATATATATATATATATATATATATATATAAACAGTTCAAAGTTTGCAGCGATCACAGTTGATTAGCAAGACATCAACCACAAAATTATTCACTCGTTACGTGTCACCAGAAACGTCATGTGACTGGTGACGCGGCTTTTGATGATCAGTATGACTCGGAGTTCGCGCGCTAAATGACGTCGTTAAAAGAGCGCAGTTGAGTTGGTGTGTTCAATATCCGAGATGAGAGGCCGCACCATGTTGTCACCTACTGCGCCGCTAGTTTCACTCGCTGCGTAATTAGTACAGTCAACTTTTTTGTTCCACGGAGACGCTGCCCAGTGTGGGCCTGTGTTTGTGTGGGCCGCTATGTCTATTGATTTTGTGCAGTGACGTGTCGAGGGGAGTGGGGG